CTCGCTCGATGTCGCGATCGAACCTCTCTTGACCTGGATTCCCCTCGTAGGGAGGCTCGATGTGGGGCGAGGTTACTTGGTCAGGGTGCAGCGACGCCTAGGGGTCGCGACCGCGAAGATCGATCCAAGGGAACCCCCTCGAGCCTGCTCCCGAGGGAATCGATCGAGTCTTTTCCCGTTGCGAGCGGGAAACCGATTATCGGGAGGAAGTGGGGAATTGGGATCCCATTGCTGGGGGGTCTACAGGCTGATGTAGTGGAAGGATCCACTGAAGGATCTGCGCCGCGGGCGCCACTTTTCTTAAGGGCGTAATGGCTACTCGTTATCGACGGACGTCGTTAAGGGCTGTTCCTCGTGTTTCCGGGGTTATCTTCCGGCGTGTCTTGTTTCTTGGAAGGAATTGTTCTTGTCGGCTCGTTTGCGAGGAGGAGTAATAATCAGGTTTATGGTTTCACGTCTGCACGTTACCTACACAACATGTTGGGGTTGTTATTTAAACAATATCGTACCTGTAAGATGGTTCGACATTGGGTTCTTCCGTGAGTTCGCGGAGAATTCTATTTGCAGTGGATTTCCTTTGAGGATTGTTACATGTTTACACGAAATAGGAAGACAATAAGAAGTGGTCAACCATGTCGGGGAATATGTTATATTAATCAACACGTAGTCTGTTTCGTTCCAAGAAGTACATTTTTGAACCTTTACAAATTCGTTGTTTTGTACTTACGGAACGATACAATAGCGACCGTGACTCAACAGGTAATTCCGTGATAATGAATATGTACCTTTTTTTTAACAGAATAATGAAACAAGGGTTGAAAGCATCCGTGGAAAATTGTTCCCCACCCTGAATCTCTTGTTAAGATGAATCTTTGTTCATCTCGTGAGGTTAGGTGTAAATGTGGTATTTTTTCTTAACAATGGCAGGGAAATAACCTCAAAAAATGTTTTTGTTATCGAGGGGAGTTAAAGGATCGAAATAGAAGTTATCATCAGATTAATAGAACCGAAACGTGATGCGTACATGGCGTCCAAACGTGACGACGCATACCAACTCGACTTAGTAACAGCAACGCAAGATAATTTACCCTGAGAGCTCGGAGAAAATGCTCCAGTTCCGAGGGCATTGAAAATCCGGGGAAAAAAGGGTTCCGGGGTTTGTAGCGGAGTTTGGGCTCGACCTCGGCGGAAATGGATCCGACGTAGAACTCGACGAGGTTAGGTGGGGTTGGGAGTGGTGTGGTTTTTGCGATCGACCCGGGTCACCCGGGCCACCCAGGTGGAGATTAGTGATGGAGTTTTATATCTGCAATTATTTATATCGTAGGAGTGGGTCAACTCCAACGACGAAATTGTAACGAAGTACCTTGCGCCGATTAAGGTGAAGTGAAACCCCCTCTCAAATCAGTCGATCCGAATAAGACACTTTTTTATAAGAGTACTGAACCGAACCGTCCGAAACTTTCGCATATGACTCATGAGCACCTAGGAATTATCCTGACACTTTAAAAATTTGAATTTTCAATAAAAGTTCTTTAACTTAGCCCAGATCAGAACCAAAATGCCGTCGGGCTCTCATATTTTGATCGATATACAATTATTGAAGGCTCTAATATGAGAAACGAAATTGTCAGGACAATTGTACGACTATTTAGAACATCAGGACATCATTATTAATTGACATTGCAACGTAAATGTCAGTCAGCAATGAGGACATCATTATTAATTGACATTGTAACGTAAAAGTCGTCATGTGTACATGTGCACTTATATGATTTATATTTCAAATTGCCACGTTTTAAAATTAAATCGTCCATAATAGGAGCAGAGGACGATTATTAATGATGTTTCTCATGCGAAACTTTTTATGGTACGGCATGTAAGCTGTCATGTAATCAAAGTATTTTGCGGCGATTAAATGTCTCGACTCGCTGCAGTCTATTGGCAACGTAATTCTATTAGAGATTCGATTCGTTTCGTCACTCGGTTTAATTAACGACAGATTAGTCGTTTTCCCCTATTCGATCACCCTCGTTTAAACGGAGTTCAGGTGTTTATTCTACCGTATAATGAAACGGGACATTGAATTACAAAAACACTTGACTTGTCGTTTCCGATAAGTTCCCCTGATAGATTAGGGTTGATCCAAGAACCCGATAGTGACGCGAAGTTCAAGAGTTACTTAGGGGACCTCGATAAGATCAGGAAATCCGCTAGTTATCGAAAATCTGCCTAAGAGGCGATTAAACTCTATAAAGGGGATATAAACTCAAAATTAGGCAAATGTCTGAACAAACTCCAAGTATTTCGTTTCCTTTAACCGGAAGTTGCTGTTGCGAAAAAAGTCTCGACGTTGATCTCTATCTATCAAAAATCGAGCAAGATAGTCTTAATTTTTTTCTTAGGAATTTTCAATGATTTTCCTGGACCTAAATTTGAAAATTCACTTTTTGACCGTTTAAGGGGATGTGAAATTTGAAAATTCACTTTTCGACCGTTTAAGGGGATGTGAAAGTGGCATCTGAGGGGTCAATCGTTCATGAAACTTTTCTCTGAATTGGGTATATTAAATTGTTTCAAACTTTACGATATGAATATGTAGGCTATAAGGAACGATGCTCATGAAGTTTCATTTTTTTATGAAAAATTTTGAAAACGTAAATGAATTTAAGAAAAATTGAAACTTCATGGGGGTCAGGACCTAATATTTGAAACAATTCGATACACTTAGGTCGGAGAAAAGTTTCATAAATGAGACCTTTTTGACACCAATTTCATATTGCCTTAACCAGCAGTCTATGTTTCAGAAGAGTCTCGAAAGTTGTCTTGATCCAGGACAGGCTTAGTTTTTTTTAGGAATTTCGATTGATTTTCCTGGATCCAATTCTGAAATGACTCGCTCAACCCTTTAACCAGCAGTTGCCGTCCGAAGGAGTCTGGAAGTTGGCCTTGGTCCAGGACGAAGTCCTAATTTTTTATTTTGAATTCCTAATGATTTTCCTGGACTGAAATTTGAAATTCATTTCTTTACCATTAATCAGCAGTCCACGTTTCAGAAGAGTCTCGAAGATGGCCTTGGTCCAGGACGAAGTCCTAATTTTTTTTTTTTAATTTCCATTGATTTTCCTGGACTCAAATTTGAAATTCATTTCTTCACCATTTAATCAGCCTAATTTTCAGAAGAGTCTCGAAGTTGGCTTTGGTCCAGGACGAAGCCCTAATTTGTTTTTGGTATTCCCAATGATTTTCCTAGACTCAAATTTGAAATTCATTTCTTCACCATTTAATCAGCCTAATTTTCAGAAGAGTCTCGAAGTTGGCCTTGATCCAGGACGAAGTCCTAGTTTCTTTTGCTGAATTTCCAATGATTTTCCTGGATCCAATTCTGAAATGACTCGCTCAACCCTTTAACCAGGAGTCGCCGTCCGAAGGAGTCTCGAAGCTGGCCTTGGTCCATCCTGGTATCGCGGAGGGTCGACCTAGACGACGATGGACCTGACGTAGGGGAGCCTCGCGCTGGGACCGAGGTCGATCCCGGATCAGGTCGCACCCCCGAGGAGAGGACGACTTCGCGTCGGCCGGGCTTGCCTTTCGTCATCGACCTCGGGGAGGAAAGCCTCCCGTGGGAATCCAGGGATGAACCTCGAAGTGGAGCTGATCGCGGGGGTGGTGAAGGGTGGACCACCCCCTGCCCACCTGCCCGCTCCCAGACTCGTCAAGATATTCATCGCCGGAGAGAGAGACGGTCAGGGTTCGACGATAAGGGCTGCTCGTTACTTCGTCGTGAGAGTCCTTCAAGTTCTTATCATAAACGAGGCCTCGGTAGACGAAGATTAAGGGGGCGAGTTTGGGCTTTGAAGGCGTCTCAAGTCGAGTATACTGAGCTAAAATCTACTTTCTAGGCGAGATTTGTTTCTTAATACTAATCGAAATATTTCTTGCTAATAACTTTATCACCATGAGTTCTTCAGTTCTTATCATAATCAAGGGATGAAGTGTCGCCTCCAAAGAGGCGGTTTGGAGGCGTCTCAAGTCGAGTATACTGAGCTAAAATCTACTTTCTAGGCGAGATTTGTTTATTAATACTAATCGAAATATTTCTTACTAATAACTTTATCACCATGAGTTCTTCAGTTCTTATCATAATCAAGGGATGAAGTGTCGCCTCCGAAGAGGCGGTTTTAAACTTTGAAGGCGTTTCAAGACGAATACTTTGAGTTACAAATGTACTTTCTAGGCGAGATTTTATTCTTAATATTAATCTAAATATTCTTTGATAAAGTAATTTCTTCACCATGAGTTCTTTAGTTCTTATCACAATCAAGGGATGATGTGTCGCCTCCGAGAAGGCGATTTTGAATTTTGAAGGCATCTCAAGACGAATACTTTGAGCTAAAAATGTACTTTCTAGGCGAGATTAATTTCTTAATATTAATCTAAATATTCCTTACTAAAGTACTTTCTTCGTAATGAGATTCTTCAAGTTCTTGTAATCAATGGGTGGAGTGTCGACTTAGAGTTTGAACTTTGAATCATTTTTAGTCGGTATTTCGGCAGGATTACTCGATCTTTAAAAACCTGATAAACGCGTAATTGATACTCGAGGTTTCACATTACCTTTTAACTGTTCCTTTTATTAATGTTGATGTGGAATGTATTTTTTTAATGTTTTACAATCGTCCGTCATACGTTAAATATTAATTAGGTCGGATCGCAGATTGAAATTCAATTAGTTATCTAAACTCGAATAAAAGGGAATCGGATTTCTACGGTTCGGTAGAAACGGGCTAAATTGCATTTGAGTGAATTGCAATTAGCGGCATGAGCCGCTGATTCGATTTATTTAGATTAAACCCCGTCGAAAATGATGTTGCCTTTAATTTCTATGAAATCAGTGAAATTGTCAGAATGCAATACACCGCCATAAACGGAGTGAAATATCGTAATCTTTTGAATTTCAGTATTTCTTGGTTCCTGAAACGCAGCATTTTTTTTTATAGAATTTCCGGAAGAGAGGAAACAGTTGTTGGAAGTGGTTGGACCAGAATTGCAGTCAATTTACGATGACATGGGCATCGAGGTAAATTCAAGAACAAATAATAATGATTAATAAGGCAGGAGGAAAATGAGCCGTCACTTGTAATATTCCATATAAATAAAAATAACAAATTTTGTACATCTTCATGCATGAATTTTATTTCATCAAGGACGATTTAATTTCTCAGCGCCTTTCATATCATCTTAAGACTCTGTTCTGTAAGATTCTCTTTCTTTCAAATTTTTGAGTCAGTTTTTTATTAAATAGTAAGGGGGAAAATTGAATCTCTTTTTAATACGAGGTTATGTACAGGTTCTTCTGGTGGATATGCAGTATGGTACTGAGGCCGATCCAGATAAAAATCCTAGACTTGCAGAATTCTTCCTGGAGGAGATCGATGCCTCTTACCGGCACTCCAGAGGGTGCTTCTTCCTGGTAAAGTGCTTCTACTTGTCAAACGTCAATACATCATCAGCATATCTCGTATCTAGGACACTGCGCGTTTAACTTGATCGCCTCAAACAATTCCTTTCAACAGCTGGCTCTCAGAAAAACTGTTTGATGCGAAAGTGGCGTCAAAGAGGTCTCTTTTATGAAACTTATCTCCGAACTGGGTGTACCGAAGCTTTTTAAATTTTACCACGTGAATATGAAGACCTTAAGGAATGTCCCGACACTGATGAAATTTCAAATTCTTTCAAATTTGTATATAGACATAACACTTTCTGATAAACAATGAAATTTCGTGGGTGTCAAGACCTCCTTTGTAGCCTCTATATCTCATGAATATGAAATTTATACTCATGAAATTTAAAATTCTTTCAAATTTATTTATTGACATATTAACACTTTTTGATAAACAATGAAATTTCGTGGGTGTCAAGACTTCCTTTAAAGCATCTATATTCACATTGTTAAGTCTGAAACGATTCGGTACACTTAGTTCGGCAAAAAGCTTCATGTATGATTCATCCCTTAGATATCATTTTGACATCCCCTTAAGGTGAAGTGAAACCCCCTTTAAATCAGTCGATCTGAATAAGACATATCCTTTTTTAAATTATTGAATCGAACCGTCTGATACTTTGACACATCACTCACGAGCACGTAGAAAAATCTTCTTTATCGACGTCGATCAAGTTCCTCGACGAGTTTCACTTCACCTTAAAGAAGTTACTAGATGTGAATTACGTCTTAATCAACTTGGGATTAAAAGAGACAATTAAATGACAGAGGAAATATTTCGTTTACTCATTTTATCTCACGTTTTATAAATAATTTGAGATGAAAATTCGTGTCTAAATTATTCAAAATGGCGGACCTGTAGAAGCGACAGACCTCGAGGCAAGGAAAACGTGGGGTTGGAAAACGCGATTTTGGAATGAACGAATATGAACTTCGGGATTACTTGAATATCAAACTGTCATTGAAAGAGGGATCAGACTTTTCCGTTTGCGGGGATTCGGATTCGCGTCTTTGGAAATGAACGGGCATAAACTTCGGGATTACTTGGATATCAGACGGTCGTTGAAAGAGGGATCAGACTTTTCCGTTTGCGGGATTCGGATTCAATCTTAAACCCGGTAAGTTAAATCGTTATTCTTGCAGTTGTTGGTCGGAACGGAGTATAAAGTTGGATGGGTGCCGACCAGCCTCGAGGAGGAAACTTTTATTGCATTGCGTGAGCATTGTTCAGTGCTCGACGAGTACTATGAAAAGGAGGGACTTAATTACGTGCTCAAAGCCACCAGGTAGATTTCCAATGACTCAGGAAACGTTTAACGCCGGTCCATTGAAGCTTTTATTAAGGGCGTTAATGAACACAATTTTCTTGTCATAGGGAAGAAACGGCCCAGGAAAGTTGGTTGGAAGTGGAGGCCAATTTAAGGAAAGCTCTTCAGGATGCAGCCGAAGCTGTGATCGCTGAACAACCAGACAATCTCAAAGCACAGGATGTTCTAAAGAGCACTGCTGCTCGACAATTGGAACATGCCTTAGGTACGTTGGCAATGTCAAGGACCTCCAGTTAATGCGGAATTGTTGTAATAACTTTATTTTCTTATCATTGTTCCACGTTCTCACATATCCAAACTATCATGTCGTGATGACATTCTAGTTTGAGTTCACAAACCGTCAAACGTTACACATGACGTTAATTTGTGTTTGACATCACTATGTGACGTTACAATCGAACGTCAAACGTCAAACATGACGTTAGTTTGTATCTGACATCACTGTGTGACGTTACAGTCAAACGTCAAACGTCAAAGATGACGTTAACTTGTATCTGGCATCCCTATGTGACGTTACAGTCAAACGTTAAACGTTACACATGACGTTAATTTGTGTTTGACATCACTATGTGACGCTCCAGTCAAACGTCGAACGTCAAAGATGACGTTAACTTGTATCTGGCATCACTATGTGACGTTACAGTTAAACGTCAAAGGTCAAACATGATGTTAATTTGTACCTGACATCACTATATGATGTTATGGTACAACATCAAACGTCAAAGATGACGTTAACTTGTATCTGGCATCCCTATGTGACGTTACAGTCAAACGTCAAACATGACGTTGATTTGTGTCTAACATCACTATGTGACGTTACAGTCAAACGTCAAACGTCAAACATGACGTTGATTTGTGTTTAACATCACTATGTGACGTTACAGTTAAACGTCAAACGTCAAACATGACATTAATTTGTGTCTAGCATCACCTTAAGGTGATATGAAAGTGTGATATATACATACCAAAACGTCAAAATATTGATGAAACTTTTCTCCAAACTGGGTGCACCAAATTATCTAAAACCTTAACACGTGATCATGGAGGCTTTAAGGAAGAACGAGCTGCCCGTGAGATTTCATTTCTCGAGAAACTAAAATCTTTTTTTGGCTTTTATCCGAGATGAGTACAATATTTATATCGAAAGAAGAAATTTCACGAGCGGCGCGTTTTTCCTTCAGGCCTCCATAATCACGTGTTAAAGTTTCAGATAATTCGGTGCGGCCACTTTAGAGAAAAGTTGTATAAATATTTTGACTTTTTGTTATGTATATATCCCACTTTTATATCACCTTAACAGTGTGTAACCATTCACAGGTTTAAAAAACGGCGCCGATGGCACAGTAGCCGTAATACGCGAATGGAGCGGTCCTAAGGCACCGGAATCATCCCCAGGATCATCATCATTAAAAGCCAGAGTAACCGAGGCTCTGCCATCGGAAAACATAATCCATCTGGAGGTAGAGTTCGAAGCCAACGACTCGGACCCCCCTTCAAGGGAGGTCTACCTTTCCACCCTTAGAAGTCGAATCCTGGAGAGGATTCAAGTCCTGGTGAACGCTTCTGTGGAGGCCAGCCCAGAAATCAAGAGTCGTAAGAAAATGGTCCAGGAGGTCTATGCCGAAAGTCTGGCTCATTTGGCTCTTCTTCGAGAGGAGAACCCAGCTGGGGTCACCGATGAGTCCGTGGTCCGCATAAAACAGCTTCTTATCTCCGGCATGGACACCAAACACCCTCCCATCCTGATAATGGGCCCTCGTTGCTCGAAGAAGTCCTCCATCCTTGCCAGAATCTACCAGAGTGTGTCGGAGTGGTTCGAGAGACCCACCTTTAAGGTCCTCCGATTGTGTGGTTCCACTCCAAGGTCGGCCTACAGCTTGGAATTGTTGAGGGTCCTTTGCGAGCACGTGGGGTTCCTCGTAGGGAGCAACGACGGCAACCTTCCACATGACGCTTCCTTCGATCCGCTATATTTGAACAATTGGTTCGGCCAAATTATCCGCCAGGTCGAAACCAGCCCCATCAACGAACAATTGATCATCATGATCGACGATTTGCATCGACTGCACCCGTTGGAGTGCGACATTGTTGCTGCCCTGTCATGGCTGCCCCTCAGCCTTCCACCAGGTAATTCCCCTGTAATAATGAATATTGGGAATACGTGTAACGTTGGTACAATGTCATCTACTGGTACATAGTATCATCAGTTACCGGACAATGTAACGAGCTATCGGGGGCAAGGGAAAGTTCTGTCGTTTTTCTCTAAAGAAGTGTACGTGTTCAAAAAACGACAGAACTTATCCTCACACCTAATAATGTGTTATTTTGCATCTTGTGTTGGTAGGCGTCCATTTGATGGTCACTTTGCATCGAATATATTCCCTTTCACATCTCCTTAATAGGGGATCATCTTCAGTCGATGGCATTTTGTATTTTGTGTTGGTAGGTGTCCATTTGGTGGTCACCACAGCATCGCCTCCAGAGGCGCTACGACTAACCCCGGTACAAAAGGAGAGATTCAGGAACGTGGAGACGCTGGTGGAGCTGCCAGAGACTTCCGTGGACCTTCCAGACGTGGAAGCAGCTTTGGATGGCCTGGAAAGGATGTTGGGTCGAGAAGCAGCCAACAGACTGGGCGCCGTTCTGGCTTGCACCGAGTACGGTCTTTCGGAGACAGAGGTCCTGGAGATGGTGATGCCGACTGGAGGTGACGGTCCTTTGTCTCTCAAGTTGGGGCAATTTAATTTCTCCACCTGGTGCTTGGCCAGGAGGACGTTGGCATCCTGGCTGAGGGTGCGAGTTCTCAGTGGGAGACTGATGTTTGGATGGCGCTGGATAAGTGGCGAAGTGGCCAGGAAAAGGTACGAGTTTGGGAGCTGATGAGCTCTTATCGTGCACCCTTCTTCATATCAATTTGGGATTTCATTCTGAACTGTACATGTAGATAGATAAGATGTAAAATGTAGGTAGATAGGCAGAGCGAGGCGTGGACGTTTTCTAGCTAAAACACTAATTACTCGATGAGGAGCTATAAAGGCAACCCATTAGGCCTGAGACAAAGTACCGAACGATGATATATCCTCTTGCGGCAAGTGCCAAGGGTTTCGGTCGGCACTGAAGGGTTAAAAAATCAACAGCTGATGGCGATGCTCGCTTTCTAGGTACCTAGAGGTCCAAGAAGTAGCCAGGTCTTGCCACACGGAGCTGGCGAACTTGTTCTTCGCCGTGGACGGCGAAGAAAGCGACGACGGATCCCCCCAGGAAAAACCAGTCGCCAGTCCTACCAAAGAAACGCCTTTCCAAAGTGCACCTCAGACCCGAGATATCGGCTACACCCTGAGACACGTAGAAGAAGCCTGGTTGCACCTGCTGAGAGCAGGAGACGCGGAGAAGCTGAAGAGGCTGGCCCTTTGTGCTTTCGACTTCCTCCTGGCTGCTGTCCAAACCATCTCCGTTAGCTACCTTCGATGTGTCTTTGAACACTCCAGAAGATACCTACTCGAACGAGACGTGGAATTGGTCTACTACTCCATCAGAAAGTCCAGCGACGTGCTGACGAGGGATCCGCTTCAACTGGGAGCACAACTCATCTGTTGGCTGCGACCAGTCACCGAAGATGGAGGGGACATGGTATGATTTGCATACTAATTTATGAGAAAATACATTGACATGTTTTTTATCTGAATAAACACTCATAAATCTCGTGTCTAATCTGATCAGACGAAATTTCATAGATGCTTAGGTGAGCGTTTTGCCCTCTGTTGCGCTCATACGTGCAAATACATACATGAGCGCGGACATGGTAAGACTTGCATAGTAATCCCTGAGAAAATGCATTTACATGTTTTTCATCTGAATAAACACTCATAAGTCTGATGACTAATCTAAGCAGGTTGAATTTCATAGATGACTTGATGAGCGTTTTGCCTTCTGTTGCGCACATACATGTAAATACATATATGAGCGCGGACATGGTAAGATTTGCATAGTAATCCTTGAGAAAATGCATTTACATGTTTTTTATCTGAATAAACACTCATAAGTATGATGACTAATCTAAGCAGGTTGAATTTCATAGATGACTTGATGAGCGTTTTGCCTTCTGTTGATATATGAGCGCGGACATGGTAAGATTTGCATAGTAATCCTTGAGAAAATGCATTTACATGTTTTTTATCTGAATAAACACTCATAAGTATGATGTCTAATCTGATCAGGCTAAATTTCTTAGATGACTAGATGAGCGTTTTACCTTCTGTTGTGCTCATCATGTAAATACATACATGAGCGCGGACATGGTAAGATTTGCACAGTAATCCCTAAGAAAATGCATTGACCCGTTTTATTATCTAAATAAACACTAATAAGTCCGATGTCTAATCTGATCAGGCTAAATTTCATAGATGACTAGATGAGCATTTCGTGTTCATGTATGCATTTGGTGCGAAACTCTGCCAAGTTTCTTACCTGATGTGCACTCCATCCAAGTTAAGATTTATATGTAGGGATGTACTCATACTTTCCTGTTCTTTTTTACTCAATACCTTTATTCCTGCTCGTTTGGTTCATCCCTGATAATTCATTAATCCATTCCAGGTCGGCCGCATGATAACAGCAGCCATGGCGTGGTGTGATGGGTACACGGCACCATTATTGGTACCACTGAATGGATGGCTTCAGCCTCCTTTGCCCCTTCAAATCCGCATGCTGACATGTCCTCAGGGTGTCAAACTCGTCGAGGCTGCCCCATCTGGACAACATGTCGTCGTGGTCCCATCAACTGGGGATCCTCAGCTTTGGCATGTCATGTCTGGTCGACTGGTACATACATTCAGAGGTAGGGGCAAAGGGTATCTTCGCACCTGGAAAGAAACGATTTCCTGCCACAGCAAATTCTAGTACATGGCTTAATTCAGTACATGTACTAATAACAAATCTGGAATTTTAAGGAGATGTGAAAGTGCCACCTGAGGACTAAATCGAAACTCTTCTACGAACTGGGTGCACCGAATCGTTTTAAAGTTTACAACGTTGATATGGAGACTGCAAGGAAGGTCTTGACGCTCATAAAGCTTCATATTTTAGAGAAGAAATTGATAAAAAAGTGAAATTTCATGAGTGGAGGCACCTTCCTTGTAGCCTCTCTATTCATATTGTAAGGTTTGAATCGATTCGGTATACCCAGTTAGGAGAAAAGTTTTATTAACGAGATGTCCGACGCAATTTCCATATCGCCTTAATTCCATTATTGTCAAATTAATAGCTGCACTTGTAGATCTGACTAGTTGGATTGATAAGACGATCGCTATCTCAGCTTTGAAGGAAGTGGAAGTGGATTTCTAATCGGTAGATGCTTGATGAAGGTTCTTTAAGGCGATGTGAAAGTGGCGTTAAAAAGGTCTCATTTATGATACTTTTCACCGAATTAGGGGTACCGAATCGTTTCAAACTTTACAACGTGAATGTGATGAAGGTCCTGACATCCATAAAATTTGAATGTTTTAAAAATTTGTTTAAGGATATTTTCAAAAATGTATATAAAAAATGAAATTTCGCTAGTGTCAGGACCTCCCTTATAGCCACCATATTCACGTTGATAAGATTGAAACGATTCGGTACAACCAGTTCGTAGAAAAGTATCATGAACAATTGAGCTTTCGGATGTCGCTTTCATATCCCCTTAAGGCTGTACGTAAAATCTAGAGATTTTAATGTTTATCCAGCAGAATTATTCAAATCAGTGCCTGCTGTTTTTTGGTAGCGATCGATTTGCGGGCCCAGAAAATTTCTTCTTTCCTCGTGCGATTGACATCCTGGAGATGGACAATCGTAATTGTTTCATCTGACAATGAGATGACAGTAGCCGTCATCGACGAGGCATGGTCATTTATACCTCCATAGATGGAGATTAGATTTCCCTGGTTTTTCTGAACTAAATAGCGTAGTTGTCATTTTGCACTGAGTTGAGATATTAGAGCTGAGTCTACTGAAGTAGAGAAAGTAATTACCCTTATTATAGAGAATTTATCCATTCTATCATTTTACCAACTCAGATAAACACTATTATTTATGATACATTGGATTATATTTCCTTCGGCCGTGGCGAGTGAAAAAATTTGCAAATGTACAAATGTACGTTTTCAATTACAATTGCATGTACAAGAGGAACATTCTGAATGTTCATATAATAGGTGATAATAGCATCTTAGTGCGTTAGGGTGCTCTCTACGCATATGTTGATACCAAACTTGCGAGGGAATCTGTAAAAGTAATTTTATATATATACTTTATATATATATAGCATAAAGGGCCTAGCGCTGAAATGGCTGAATCCAGTTGAACTTTGAGAAGGTATTTTCAATAAGGACTCCCAGATTCCCTGGCAAGTTGCCGTCGCATAACCTAAAAACTAGAAAGCCAATCTCTAGATCGCGCGACCGCTTTGCCGATGTCTCACGAGGTCCTTTCCCTCTCCTCCTCGCCATTCCGGTGACCATTCCCATCTCCATCCTTGAAATCGACCTCGCTTCCGCAACCCCGCTGCTGCCGCTGCTGCTGTGCCATCCTGGAATCCCGAATCCCGACAAAACGGCCCACTGTTGCTAACCCCCTTAATCTGAAACACCTCGGCCTGTGCTCCTGTCGATCCTTCCCGTTCGCCCTGGTTCGCAGGTCATTTGGGTCCCATCTCCTGCTTGGCCATCACGCGGCAATCCCAGTACCTGCTGACTGGCTCCGAGGATACGTCCGTAATAGTCTGGGACTTGAAGGAATTGAATATGCGGCGCAGGATCTACGAACACATCGCCCCGGTCCTGAGTTTGGCCCTAGTCTTCGGGAACCGCATGGTGGTCAGCGGTGGCGAGGATTCCAGGATAATAGCGACTAGCCTGCTCACCGGGGAGGTCCTGACCAGGGTGGACCATCACCGAGGACCCGTCACCGCGGTCAAGGTGGACTCGGCAGAAGAGGTCCTGGTCTCGGGGTCAGCCGACGGGACCGTTTGCCTTTGGTCCTTGGAGAGCAGACCTCTCTTCACTTTGCTCAAGACCATCGAATTGCCCTCTCCTGTCGCCATGCTCGACGTCTCCGTCGACTCGGTCTTCCTACTTGCCGTTTGCGAGGACGAGAAGATGTACCTCAGGTCCTTGGCCACTGGCACCGAGATACACACTCTCAAAGGACACCAGGTACTCGCTCTAGGAAGGACAGATTGTATCATCTCGAGGCGGGAAACGTTAAGGTGATATGAAAGTGTGATATATCCATACCAAAAAGTGAAAATATTGATGAAACTTTTCTCCAAACTTGGGGCACCGAATTATATGAAACTTTAATACGTGACTATGGAGGCTCTAAGGAAGGACGCGCTGCTCGTGGAATTTCATATTTCGAAGAGAAATATCTTTTTTTTTCGTTCTTGTCCGAGATAAAGGCAAGATTTAAAAAAAAAAATGAAATTTCACGAGCACCGCGTTCTTCCGTAGAGCCTCATAATCACGTGTTAATGTTTCAGATAACTCGGTGCACCCAGTTTGGAGAAAAGTTTCATAAATATGTTGACGTTTTGGTACGGATATATCACAATTTCATATCACCGATATATTTAGATATTTATATATAGAATTATCCTTATATGTAAAAGTTTCATATTTTCACGTTTATCATTTAAACATGAAAATATGAAACTTTTCTTCAAAGTGGATGCACCGAATAATTTGAAACTCTAACACGTGCTCATGGAGGTCCTAATAAAAGTTGCAAAGTTCCGGAAATTTCATTTTTCAACCACAAAAAGTGTCTTCTCTTACAAAATGCAAATTCTCTCTTAAAACACACACCCAAGATTCTATTTTAAAATACGTAACTCTTCAACCACAAAAAGTGTCTTTTCTTACAAGATGCAAATTCTCTCTTAAAACACACACCCAAGATTCTATTTTAAAATACGTAACCCTTTTTTCATTTGCCCTTTCAACTTGATAAGGGTCCAGTGAGAAGTGTCTGCTTGGCTCGAGATTGCAGAAGGGCCATTGCTGGTGGAGTCGAAGGTCGAATCTCGGTTTTCGATATGCACTGTGGAAGACTCACCAGAACGTTGCCCGTTCACTCTTCCGGAGATGTCACTTGTGTCAGGGTAAAGTGATCCCGAGATGAAATTAAGGATAAATTCATTGACGGCTCTAGAATTTTTGGGCGTAACGTTTTGGTGTCCTGTTCATAGGTGACCGATAAGGACGATTTCCTTATCACTGCTGGTGGTGGTCGCGTTACTTATTGGAGTTTCCGTGGCGAAGAGGCGACCGCTTTGAAGCCCACCAAACCAGGAACGAAGCAGGAATCTTTACAGCCTCATACGGCAGCCATCACATGCTTGGACATATCCAGAGATGGTGCGACAGCGGTGACAGGAGGAGTGGACTCCTTGGTCAACCTTTGGCAGCTGAACACCCACGAGTTGCTGTCAACTCTGGAGGGCCACATCGCAAGTGTCACCTGCGTGGCCTTTTCTGCCTCAGGACTCTTCGCAGCCTCGGGTGATTATCTAATTTGCCTTAAAGTGATATGAAAGTGTGATGTGTACAGTGGCGGACATGGATGCCTCCCCTGCAGATACGGCATCGCCTGTGCAGGATGGGAGGGCATTGATGTCTCCCAGTGTGCATAAGAAAAAGTGAAGATATTTATAAAATTTATCTCCAAACTGGGTGCACCGAATTATTTGACACTTTAACACGTGATTATGGAGCGCCGTAAGCAATACGTGACATTTCTTTTTTCGACACAAATTCTCTACTTATCTCGGAGGAGAACCAAAAAAGATATCTTTTTCGTCGAAAAATGAAATTTCACGGGCAGCGCGTTCTTCCTTAGAGCCTCCATAATCACGTGTTAAAGTTATAGATAATTCAGTGCACCCAGTTTGGAGAAAAGTTTCATAAATGTTTTTACTTTTTGGTATGTATATATCACACTTTCATATCTTTTTGGTATGTATATTACACCTTTTATATCACCTTAAGGTCCTATACGCTATAAGGGAGGTTCTGACATCCATGGAATACGAATTGTTTAAAAGTTCGTTTATAGGAATTACTTACATTTTTTATTCAAAATGATGGGTGTCAGGACCTTCCTTATAGTTTCCATATTCACGTTGTAAAGTTTGAATCGATTCTATAGACTCAGCACAGAGAAAAGCTTCATGAACGATCGACCTCTCGGATGCCACTTCCACATCCCCTTAAGATGTAATGAAAGTATACATGTACCAAAAAGTCCAAATATGCATAAAATTTTTCTCTGGGTGCGTCGAATAATTTGAAACTTTAACGCGCAACGATGGAGGTCCCAAAGAAGGTCTTGAAACACTTGAAATTTCATTTTTCGAAAGGAAACGGTGTTTTTAGTAATAAAATTAATTTAAATGATATTTATATAATAACATACGACCACAAATGTTATTTTGTCGTGTATGAATTATTCTTTTAATATATTCCAGGCTCCGAAGACAAGACGGTTAGGGTCTGGGGTCTGACTTTGGGACTTGTAGTGGCGACTTTTAGACATCAGGCTCCTGTCACCGGAGTGACAGTTATGTTGGATGGAAGAAGAGTAGTTAGCTCCGACAGAGGTGGGGCTATCAGGGTTTGGGCTGCTGATAACGGAGTTCTGGTGCAATCGGTGTCTGGACCAGGCCGATGCTTGGCGGTGACCTCCGATATGAGGTGAGGATGCAAAATGTCGATATTTGAGGCGAGAATGCAAAATGTCGATATTTGAGCCGAGAATACAAAATGAGATTTGAGGCGAGAATGCAAAATGTTAAACAATTTTCTTTTTTAAATCCAAATTTTGAAAGTGCCAGGATAATTCTTAGGTGCACCGAGTCGTGGGTCAAAGTCTCAGACGATTCGGTTCAATACCCTTTAAAAAAAAGTGTCTTATTCGGATCGACTGATTTGAGGGGGGTTTCGTTATCATAAACTTTATCAATGAAGGCTTAGACATGTTGCCGTTTCATGCTGCTAAAAATTTTCTTCCTTCAAGTCATTTAACTCGTTTTTCTTCCGTAGGTACACCGTTTGCGGTTCAGGTGACAATCACGTTAGAATCATGGGACTGGGTGCTGGACCAGAGGAGAAGTATCAGGTGTCCCATTCGCAGGAGATTACGTGCCTCGTCGTTACCCCCGACTCGCAATCTCTGATAACAGGTTCAAGGGACACCAGCCTGAAGGTGTGGCAACTCGCAGGTGGAAAGTTGTCGCAGGTCAGTTTCCTGACGTCTATGGTACCGCCAAAATGGGGAAAGCTTTCACGGATCAGTTGGGCTAAGTTTCTACCGAGTTAATTAGTCCGGCAAGGGGTTAACCATGCTCCCAACTCCCAGGTTCTGGTTGGCCACACCGACCACGTAACCTGCGTCGCCGTGGCGGTCCTGGACAAGTGCACGGTGGTTTCCGGTTCCCGGGACGCGAATCTGATAGTCTGGGACATCAACACCGGGGCGGATCTGCACACTTTGACCGGCCACTTGGGATACGTTACCTGTGTCAGGCTTTCCGGAGACGGAAGCTTGGCGGTTTCCGGAAGCGAGGACAAGTGCCTGATCGTCTGGGACACGAAAAAGGGCACGGCTGTGAGCTCGATCATGCTTCACGTGCCCGTCCTGGGAGTCGAGATGGCCACGGACTGCTCCAGGATGGCCGTGCACCTGTTGGAGCACAAATGTCTGCCCATCCTGTGTCTGCACAACACTCCTGCACAGTACGTCAAACTTCCAGCCTACGTCGCTCCCAGGGACCTCAGGCCTTCCGGGCCGAAGAGACCAGCCAGGAGGCTGCTGAAGAAGGAAGTCTCTTTGGACACCTACACCTGGCAACGGAAGTACGGACACCTGACGTCAGGTAATGCGACTTGTCGTTGGTCGATATTGTCCTAGAATAACAAACGATCTGTGGTTGGGGTCCAGGTCCAGTTTGCAATGCTAAATCAAAGAGTTAGGTTTCTAGTAAACGCACATCGAGTCAATTATCCATATACAGGTCGAACGCACTTGCGCTCGAACCAGCGCACCATCGCAGCGAAAAAGTGAATTAGAATGGAAAATAAAGAGGTTTAGGAGCTAGCTCGAACAATTTACTTCAACTACTTCGACTTGTCGTTGGTCGATATTGTCCTAGAATGACAAACGATCCGTTGTTGGGGTCCAGGTCCAGTTTGCAATGCTCAATCAATGAGTTAGGTTTCTAGTAAACGCACATCGAGTCAATTATCCATATACAGGTCGAACGCACTTGCGCCCGAACCAGCGGACCGTCGCGGCGAAAAAGAGAATTAGAGTGGAAAATAAAAAGGTTTAGGAGCTAGCTCGAACAATTTACTTCAACTACTTCGACTTGTCGTTGGTCGATATTGTCTTAGAATAACAAACGATCCGTTGTTGGGGTCCAGGTCCAGTTTGCAATGTTCAATCAATGAGTTAGGTTTCTAGTAAACGCACATCGAACGCACTTGCCCTCGAACCAGCACACCATCCCGGCGAAAAAGAGAATTAAAATGGAAAATGAAGAGTTTCAGGACCTAGCTCGACTTCGGGAACATCTTTATTTTTTCTTTCCTACCCGAATTAAATGGGAATATAATCGATATTGCTTTGTTCAGGTATTATGGTCGCCGCAGTGGAGGAGCGGCTGAAGCGTCGTTTCAGCGTCAGCGCTTCCATGGAAGAGATCAGCAAAGCTGGACTCGCAGGGTCTCAGTCCGGACTGGGAGCTGAGCAAGCTGCCTTGGCTCAGTCCCAGCACTTCGATCAGCTGGAAGCTATCTGGAACAAGCAGTCTCCACCTCCAAGACCCCGAGGTCTTGGTAGAACCTTGTCCAAGCAAAGCTCCCTCCAGGCCAGTCGGATATCCGACTCCGAGGAAGAAGGTACTTCAACACCGAGTGACATTTTCGCTTAACCCTTTGAAGGACGGAATTATAGAAAATGAAAAGACAAAATTTCGAGCTGGGTAAAAGAATATCCCACCGTTCATATTGACGCATTAAAAAGGTGGGACACTTTTAATACCACCGTACCTCAAAGAGTTAACCCTTTCGTTACGAGCGCCGATTATAATCGGCACACATGCGACGATCTTTATGTACGAGCGCTGACTATAGTTGGTAACAAATTCTGCCATATCTGCAGAGTATCTTTTGATTGTATTCACGCGTATTGGATGAATCATCCTAAAAGTACATTTTGAACATAGGTAACACAGTTTAGCCATCGAACTGCCGAAGTGCAATATGCACCGTTTCGGTGTGGTTAGACTTTTATTTGGAAATTTAATAATGGGGTAGTACGACAGAACAATTGTTATTTAACACTTATAAAAGTGTACATACAAAAAGCCGTCAAGGAGGCGTTGTTCAGGTGGAAAACGTAAGTTCGAACACCGAAGACTGCCGAAGCGCAATGTGCACCCTTTCGGTGTGGTTAGATTTTTATTTGGAAATTTAATAATGGTGTAATACGACAGAACAATTGTTATTTAACACTTATAAAAGTGTATAAACAAAAGGCCGTCAAGGAGGCGTTGTTTAGGTGGAAAACGTAAGTTTGAACACCGAAGATTGCTGAAGCGTAATGTGCACCCTTTCGGTGTGGTTAGACTTTTATTTGGAAATTTAATAGTGGTGTAATACGACAGAACAATTGTTATTTAACACTTAGAAAAGTGTACATACAAAAGGCTGTCAAGGAGGCGTTGTTCAGGTGGAAAACGTAAGTTTGAACACCGAAGACTGCCGAAGCGCAATGTGTGCACCCTTTCGGTGTGGTGTCGTTGTCTTGCGGAGCGGACTGCCGTAATGAAAGGGTTAAGGTGTTGCGAAAGTGTCATATATATATTTCAAAAAGTCTAAATATTCGTAAAACCTTAAGGCTTTCCATTCCCAAATGGCTCGTTCTTGGGTATTATACGGATATATCTTTTTGTAGATGTTTCAGACTAATTCACTTTCGCCGAATATCGAGACTCATGGACTTCGAAGTGGGAGGATGTGGATTCGACAATGTTGAGGGGCACCCTCGTTCTACGACTATCATGCCTATTCTAATTCTAAATGAAAGATCCTCGTGTGATACCTTTCGTGCAATAAAGCTGATGCATGCCTACACCATGTCTGAAAGTTGGGACGAGTTTGCCGTTTCTTCTGATCCTTTTTCTTTCTACTTTAGTTGATCAGGTCGGTTAAGGTGAAGTGAAACACGTTGAGGAACTTGATCGACGTCGGTAAAGAAGATTTGCCTAAATACCTATGTCACCGACATTGCTTTTTATATTGACAGCAGCGTCGAATGATATTGGGTATTGTACTAAATGGCATACTCCACCTGTCGTTTTTATACGATAATTGTGCCCATAATTATGAAAGTGGTCTAAGTCATATATTGTTTGTTTCGAAATTACATTGAATTAATTTAGTTTGAAATAATGTGGCGTGAAATAACTGATAAACTCATTTTTTTTTTCAATTTTGACTTAGACCACTTCATAATTATGGGCACAATTATAAAGAAATCGAAGTAAAACTCAAGAAATCCTCTGGATTCGTGGTTTCCGAGGCCCTAATTGACTGCAGAGGGACCCCTTGCGCCATCTGTGATTTCCGAGTCAACTAAATGTTCACTCCGAGACTTCGTACAGGTCATAGAAAATTGAACATTGCGTCTTATGTTCGGCAAATTGACTGACCAGCTTTTATTTTATATATATAATCCTGATGAAACTGTGCAGGAGTTCCTAACCCTGAAACGAGCACTAAAAGTACTGTCGAACAAAATGGCGAACGAGAACATTCGTGGCTTCTTATCGCATATGAACATTTATTAGGACGTTACTCGAACGTCTTTATGCAATCCTGGACATAATTATTCCCGTTTATGCTGCTAGGTCGTGAAATAGAGAGGTACTACGATATTAGATAGATCGATAATGTCAATTCTCATTGGAAATCCATCAGACTTCCCGTTGTCCTTCGGCAATGTTCCAGTAATACTCTGCCAGGATCTTCCACGCTTTCGGCGCCATGAAGCCATCAGGTGGTTCTTTGCCAGATTTGGCAAGACCTGCAAAGTGTAATTGCAATCAGAATTGATGGCGAAATCCGAGGAGTTATTCATTTAATTTAAGGTGATGTGAAAGTGGCGTCGAAGAGGGTTTGTTTATAAAACTTTTCTCCCAACTCGGTTTACCGAATAGTTTGAAACTTTACAACGTGAATAGGAAGACTATAAGGAAGGTCCTGAAACTCATGAAATTTTAATTCTTTTCAAATTTGTTTATAGGTATTTTAGAAATAGTTTATAAAAAAATGAAATTTTGCGAGTTTCAGGACCTACTTTAGGGTCTCAATATTTACGTTTTAAAGTATGAAACGATTTGAGACATCCAGATCGTAGAAAAGTTTTATGAACGATCGAGCTTTCGGATGCCACTTTCACATCCCCTTAAGGTGATATGAAAGAGTCAGCCTATATATATCTGAGAAGTCAAATCGTTGGGGAAAGTATTCTCCGAATAGGGTGTACCGATTCGTTTCAAATTTTAGTAGGTTCTGAAATTCATGAAATTTCATTTTTCGTAGAAAATTTATTTACTTGTCATGGATTAGTACCAATATCGTGTGGCCTGTGCACGTTTCCGATTCAGCTTATGGTCCCACTTGAGTATTCAAAATGACGTTCCACCAAAAAGGGTATAGATGAATTTTAATTTATCGACCTGGATGAAATTTCTCAGCGCCTTTCATATCATCTTAATTAAATAGGTTGGACTCACCGCGCATTCTCGTGCCGGATATGAAATCGAAGTCCTCCGCTCGTTCGGGGTTGAAGAAGGCCATCTTCTTGTTCTTCTTGTCGTAAGCGGCGACCCTGAAGGGCACTATTTCGAGGTCCTGTAATCCTGGAGAAAGTGGAAGAAGACGAGCTCCATGGGTGGGATCGTAAAGGTTCCCATCAGGAGAAGGAGCAATTCCTGGATGAGGGATTCCTGCAGGATCTCGACCAACTATATAGAAATTAGCTCCGGCCACCATCCGAGCTCTGGCGTGCCACTGTACCTGAAATTCCCCATAAAAAATGATATTTAATATAATACTCAAAGAATATCTCATATAAATGAAACATATCTAAGAGTATATTCCCGGAAATATACACATGTTCTCAGAATATATATATTTCCGTGTGGGTTATTTCTTCGATAAAACACAATACGTTAATACAAGATTGATAAAGAGAAACATCGGTTTATCCGGAAACGTTCGTTTCTTCGCAATATAAAAATTAATTTACAGGCTTGTGTTAACTATAATATACACATGTTTTCAAAATATGTGTATTTTCGGGTGGGTTAATAGTTCTATAAAGCACAATACGTTAATACAAGATTTATAAACAGAAATATCGCTTCATCCGGACACGTTCGTTTCTTCGCGATATAAAAATTAATTTATAGACTTGCGTTGACTACGATATATTGTGCTAATTATAATATACAAATGTTACTGAAATATGTATATTTCCGTGCGGGTTATTTCTTCGATAAAGCACAATACGTTAATACAAGATTGATAAACAGAAATATCGCTTTATCCGAACATGTTCGTTTCTTCGCGATATAAAAATTAATTTATAGACATGTGTTAACCACGATATATTGTGTTAACTATAATATAAAAATGTTTCCGAAATATGTATGTTTCCGTGCGGGTTATTTATTCGATAAAACACAATACGTTAATACAAGATTGATAAACAGAAATATCGCTTCATCCGGACACGTTCGTTTCTTCGCGATATAAAAATTAATTTATAGACTTCCGTTAACTATGATATGATTCAATGGGTAATAGTAACATTTTTCATCCGTGGAAAATACCAAGTAACGTGTAGCCTTGAAGAGCAATTGAAATTATTGTACGTGACTGGAGGAAGTTCCATTTTTTTAATATTTCACCGTCTTCAAGGAAACAAATGTGGAAGTGTGCTAATTAAGTTCGGCAGGTAAGCGTTTCGGAAGTCAAGGGTGTATGGAAGGTTTTGTTAATTGTGTCTATTGTTTTAGGACGTGGAGGTGCAATGGAACGATTTGGGGGAACTACAGACCTCCGTAGGACCGGCGTACATCATAGGGCTTGGGAAAATGGCCAAAAGAGTGTCAGGATGCAAAAGTCCTTCCTCCAAAACCGCCTGATGTTGGCGTATCCTGACACTTAGAGGTACATCGTCATCTTTGGTCCATCCACCAAGAGGATGCAGCAATAAGACGGGTTTCCTGTATCCTCGCTCTTCCAGAAGACGTCTCCTGGTGTCCTGAACGGAACATCAAAAGTTAGTTTTTTCGGTAACGTTCATCTAATTTCAGGTTTTATGTATTAGGGGGACCGGGAAGTAATGTCGTTTCTGCGCATTGAATTTAATGTGAGAAAACGACATTACTTTCCGGTCCCCCTATCATATAGAATGACTCTTTCATTTCACCTTAACCCTTTGCCGTACTAATTAACTCGGTAAAATCTGGTAATGTCCTGAACGGAACATCAGAAGTTAGTCTTATTGGTAACGTTAATCTAATTTCAGGTTTTATGTATTTAGAATGACCCTTTCATTTCACCTTAACCCTTTGTCGGACTAATTAACTCGATAAAATTCGAACCCAAGTGTTCCGTGAAAATGTTCAGTCGGCCGATATGCCGAGGAAAGATAATTGCAGCACGGGACAATTTTTTTAACCGAAATTCAGATTACGAATCTGACTCGTGATGGTCATGTTTGGCCGAAAATTTTTATCACGAGTCAGACTCGTCAAAATACGGCAAGGTGTTAAGGCGATATGAAAGGGTCGTTCTACATATATAAAACGTCAAAATATTTATGAAACTTTTCCTCAAACTGGGTGCACCGAATAATTTGACATTTTAACGTGTGATTAGGGATGTCTTGAAATTTATTCATAGAATGACATTTCATGTCACCTTAAGACGATATGAAAGGGTCATACTATATACATGAAACGTCAAAATATTTATAAAACATTTCCCCAACCTGGGTGCACCGAATAATTTGACATTTTAACGTGTGATTAGGAATGTCTTGAAATTTATTCATAGAATGACATTTCATGTCACCTTAAGACGATATGAAAGGGTCACACTACATACATGAAACGTCAAAATATTTATAAAACATTTCCCCAAACTGGGTGCACCGAATAATTTGACATTTTAACGTGTGATTAGGTAGGTTCTAATGAAAGTCTTGAAACTCACTTACAGAATGACATTACACGTCACCTTTAGGTGGTATGAAAGGGTCATTCTATATACATTAAATGTCAAAATAGTTATAAAACTTCTCTCCAAACTGGGTGCACCGAATTAAGGAAGTAAGGAAGAAGGCGATACGTTCTCCTTACTTCTGCTACTATTTCACTTCAGTGCGTCACTTTCATAACCATCAACACATACTATGTATTTTCTATTTTCGCATCGCGTTCGTCCTTACTTCTGCTACTAATTTACTTCAGAGCCTCACTTTCATAACCATCAACACATACATTCTATTTTCTATTTTCTTTTTTCCACTTTCCTAGATGGCGCTCGAGATGAAAAGACGACAAGTACCTGGAAATGTGAATTTTGCCTGAATTTTACCTGCATGAGAAGTGCGTGGCCATTATGGATGGGATTTCTGAGTTGGAAAGCAAAGACAGCATCAGCTCCAATTTCTCTGCACCTGGTTCTGATTTCGTTAGGAGTTAATCTGAATTGATCGAGGCCATCGTTCCACCTGATCCTTGCAAGGACTTCTAAATCTCCTCCAACCAGCCAATCGCCCGATTTATGTATCAGACGCACATAAGGATGGCCCTGATTGTTGGTGCCGAATTGTCTGCAGCAACGCTCTTCTTTTCGATGTCTATAAAATTCGGGCCTTCTCAAAACGGCCAAAACTTCTCCTCGATGTGTAAGCGAGATCGCAGGGGATGATCGAAGCCGATCTGCGTCTTCGCTTTTCACCGCCAGGACGATTGGTATCGATTGATTGACTTCTTCCAGTTTTCCACCGGGTTCCAAAATCCGGTTAAAGTGTTCTACCTGGAGGTATTCTTCTTCTCTCATGAAGCCGCTTAAAGGGGAAGCCCATCCCTCGGACAGGACCTGCGATGTTAAAAGACATTCCGTTTTGCCATATTTCCATGTCTGAGGACATTTCAATAGTAAGTTCCAAGATTATACCACGTTGCACGTCCTTAAGGTGAAGTGAAACACGTCGAGGAACTTGATCGACGTCGGTAAAGGAGAGTTTTCAAAATACCTACGGTCCCGACGTTCGTTTTTATATCGACAGCTGTGTCGAATTGGGTATTGTACTAAATGGCGTACTCCACCTGTCGTTTTTGTAGAATAATTATAAAGAAATCGAGGTAAAACTCCTCCTCTGGATTTGGGGATCCTGAGCCCCTAAATGACACTTGCGCCATCTGGGAGTTCCGGGTCAACTAAATTTTCACTCCGAGACCTCTTGTTATCATCGTTTTTCATTGTTCGGTTCAATACTCTTTAAAAAAAGGGGATTATTCGGATCGAATTACTTGAGGGAAGGTTTCACTTCACCTTAAGTTAAAGACAATTATAACGTTCAATTGAAATAAAAATTTACTAATAGGGTAAACATGCATGTTAGGTGTCTGTAGATTTTCTGACTTGTAATTCTTCCATTTTACGTTTTTCTATGCGAAACATCAGTTGTGAAGTGTGTACAAATGTGTGCAAATTTCCGTCAATTTTTTTTTTCGTATGCGTTCTGAGAGACCCATGAATAATTATTTTATTTTTCATTGACTTTGTATAGATGTGATTTATCGACCTGCATCTAAACTTCAGTTGTGAGGTGTGTAAAGATGTGTGCAAACCACCAATTTTTATTTATATACGCGTTCTGGGAGACGCATGTATAATTATTTTATTTTTAATAGATTTTGTATAGATGTGATTTATCGATCTGCATCTAAACTTTAGTCGTGAGACATGTAAAAATGTGTGCAAATTTCCATCGATTTTTATCTCTGTATACGTTCTGGGAGACCCATGAATAATTATTTTATTTTTTATTGACTTTATATAGAATATGTGATTTATCGACCTGCAGCCATTGGACGTCGAGTTGATCGATTTCTAGTCGATCGAGGGTGACAGCTTCGGCTTTGACGGATGGAAGACGAGCTGGGGCGACGAACAGTTCCTTTATCGGAATGTCCCTCGTCTGAGGAGTCTGGAGACAAGGAGATTTTCCATTTATCGCCGATGGTAAAACATCATTTCTCTCCAGGAACTCCAGAAGAGTGCTGGTGGACTTCTCCACGGTGCAACCCTGAGTTTCCAGGACGAGATCCGCTCGACTTGGTCTTTCGTAAACTTGGTCGATGCCTGTGAATCCTTTGATGGATCCTTGCCTAGCTCGTCTGCAAAGATGAAAATTAAACAGGTAATAATAAAGAGATATCATGAAAAGTGACTCTGTCGCTTGAGATACTTAGCAAAGATAACAAAGAAATATTTAGAAATTATTCTAAGCTACTAGGGGGATCAGGTATTGTTTCCATTTTATTGTTGGGAAATTGAGATGATCTCTGAGACCACGTGTCGTGATGCCGAAAAAGTATGTCAGCTGTTAGGGGTTAATTTATAAGATTTTAAAGGAAACTGTTATCGACAATTAAATTTATTAAAATACCTGTATAGGCCCTTGACGTCCCTCGCCTCGCAGACGTCGAGAGGAGCGTCGACGAAGACCTCGAAGAAGGGCAACCCGGCCTCTTCGTGAATCCTTCTGGCCATTTTCCTGTCGGCCTCGAAAGGGGACACGAAACTGCAGAGCGCTATCAAGCCACTATCAGCGAAGAGTTTCGCCACCTCAGCAACCCTACGGACATTTTCTTCGCGATCTTCTTTCCCGAATCCCAAATTACGGTTCAGACCAGTCCGGACGTTGTCTCCGTCCAGGCCGTAGGCTGGGATGCCCCTCGTTATCAGAGCTTCCTCCACGCGGAAAGAGATGGACGTCTTTCCGGCTCCTGATAATCCCGTCAGCCAGACCGTGCAACCTCGGAATCCTTTTGTCGATCCAAATGCTTCGCTCCTTTTGTGTCTGGATACCCTATGTGCTTGGGACACGACGTTTCCGTTCTCCTTTATCCCGCAGACCTGCAATTTCATTTGCATTGTTAGATGAAAGTTAAATCCCCGTTTCGAGTAAAGAGACGCGGTGATCGGGCGAGCTGTGAACTTGTTTGAGACGCCACCGCGTTTCTTGAAAATCAACGGAGTCTTTTTCGCTTCTTTTATGTTTGGTCCGCATATTATTGGTAAGATTCATATTTTTAGGGATATGGGTTTGGGACGTTTCCTTTCTCCTGCATCTCTGTTTTGAGTAAAGAAACGCGGTGATCGGGCGAGCTGTGTACTTGTTTGAGACGCCACCGCGTTTCTTGAAAATCAACGGAGTCTTTTTCGCTTCTTTTACGTTTGGTCCGCATATTATTGGCAAGATTCATATTTTTAGGGATATGGGTTCGGGATGGGATGTTTCCTTTCTCCTGTATCCCTGTTTTGAGTAAAGAAACGCGGTAATCGGGCGAGTCGTGTTCTTGTTTGAGACGCTACTGCGTTTCTTGAGGATGGACGGGGTCATTTTCGCTTCTTTTACGTTTGGTCCGCATATTATTGGTAAGATTCATATTTTTATGGATATGGGTTTGGGACATGACGTTCCCTTACTCCTGTATCCCTGTTTTGAGTAAAGAAACGCGGTAATCGGGCGAGTCGTGTTCTTGTTTGAGACGCCACCGCGTTTCTTGAAAATCAACGGAGTCTTTTTCGCTTCTTTTATGTTTGGTCCGCATATTATTGGTAAGATTCATATTTTTAGGGATATGGGTTTGGGACGGGACGTTTCCTTTCTCCTGTATCTCTGTTTCGAGTAAAGAAACGCGGTAATCGGGCGAGTCGTGTTCTTGTTTGAGACGCCACCGCGTTTCTTGACAATCGACGGAGTCATTTTCGCTTCTTTTATGATTCGTCCGCATATTATCGGCAAGATACATATTTTTATGGATATGAGTTTGGGGCACGACGTTCCCTTCCTCCTGTAATCCTGTTTTGAGTAAAGAAACGCTGTGATCAGTCGAGCTGTGAACTTGGGGAATAATTTTCGATCCAACAAATGTTCTAGTGGATCTCGCTATATACTTGCTATATACTCGCTATATACACTAATGTAATTTGAAACGTTTAACTAAACTATTTGGTCCATTGGCCATTTTCTAAAATTAAGGAAGCGATTTAACCAGAATACTTCATTGGATCGAGGCAGATGAGTTTGATGTAGGGATTGAAATTCGGTTCTTGCTGAATGAATTAAACTCTTTTTCTCTTTGCATGGTTCAGAAAACGGGTTACGAGGTTTTAGAACGTCACCGCCATTATACCTTGGCACGCGGTGGACCTTTCTGACTTTCCTTCCTCTCGCGTCTGCAATTTAATACCACATCGTTATGTAACCGCAATGTATTGCTCAGTGCACTGGTATTTGATCTTACCGCGGGACATAATTCAGTTATCACAGTATATCCAACGAGGAAACTTTTTACCACTCGGCCAAACATCGATTTGCGATAGGAGAACCAGAAGCATGGAACAAAAATCTGAATCTTTATCGCGGCAGAAATTGTTTCCGGGCATTTATACCCGACGTAAACGATATTTCACTGATTTAAATACGTCCTTTGGACGCGTTCCACTTCAAATGCTGATAATGCGCTTATCGGCGACATTGCGACTGCACGAATCCTCTGAAGTAAGCTTTTCTCTCGTAAAAATGCGCGAAAGAAGAAGCAGTTTTCGTAAATCAATAATAAAAAGGAGCTGAATAACATGAGGTAAAAAACCGACATCCTCTGTAACTCCAATTCTTTTTCAAGCCAAGTAAAAACTGGTAAAAGATGAAATTACCAAATATGGACACTCCAAAAGCAATTAATTTTCATAAATCGATAATAAGAAGAAATGAAATAAATAAGGTGACCAGAATGAAATCCTCTGTACCTCAATTTTATATTCAATCCAAGAAAAAAATATTGAAAATATGAACTCTCTGGAATAAACTATATGTTTAGAAACATAGGATTTATAAACATTTCTTGGTTACAAAGGAGGAGTACAACGAGGTGCCACATTAAGTTTTGCCGCAGAAATCAAATAAGATTTAACAAATGTGTGACCTCAAAACCACGTGGCGTTATAAAGTCCTTCAGAAACGCGTTAAAACGATTTCTGGGTGTACATGTAATACACGGTTTAATGATTTTTGAGAAAGGGACGAGTCAAATGCAAGATTTGCTCATTATTAATGAAAATCACATTTTTTCGAGCGTTCGAGCGTTTTGGTGCTCTTTATAAGATACAATACCTCTTGTGTGGCACTCGTCGAGGTGGGAGTGACGAAGATGCCCATGGCTTACACGAGAGACTCGGAAAACTGCGAAACAACGACCGTGCACCAAAAAAAGAATTGAATTTTCCGTTTCAAGTAAAACGTGCGGCGTTGTTTACTAATTGCGACTCGCGTCGATAAAGGCGCGAGCTCGGCGCGCCTTTATCCGCGCCTGGACCCGACCGATGGCAAGTCAACGGTGAAAGTCGAAAGAAAGTGGCTTTCATCGACATCGGAGTGGCCAAACGCGAAGCCAGAGAGGATATGAGTCCCAAACTTGTCCAGAACTGGCCCAGTCTGCTCATCTCGAGAGGCTATTCACTTGGAAATCAGTGAAACCGATTTTCTTCTTTGAGAACCGATTGCCTTTCATTTCATATGATAAACAACAAAGTGATTTCTGTGATTTCATATGATAAACAACACGCGATGTCTTTGATTTCGTGTGATAAACAACAATGTGATGTCTTTGATTTCGTATGATGAACGGCAACGTGATGTCTTTGATTTCATATGATAAACAACACGTGATGCCTTTGATTTGATATAATAAACAACAATGCGATGTCTTTGATTTCGTATGATGAACGGCAACGTGATGTCTTTGATTTCATATGATAAATAACAATGTGAATCGGTAGGAGAGACATGAAAAGAGCTGGTATACGCTCGGAAATCAGTGAAAAGGAATTTCTTCCTTGAGAACCAATTGCCTTTCATTTCATATGATAAACAACAATGTGATGGCTTTGATTTCATATGATAAACAACACGTGATGCCTTTGATTTCATATGATAAACAACACGTGATGCCTTCGATTTCATATGATAAACGACAATGTGATGTCTTTGATTTCGTATGATGAATGACAATGTGATGCCTTTGATTTCATATGATAAACAACAATGTGATGTCTTTGATTTCGTATGATGAACGACAATGTGTTGCCTTTGATTTCATATGATAAACAACAATGTGATTTGGTAACAAGCGACGTTCGGCCTTGAAATTCTGACGTTGTTTCGGTGATTTTCAGCGATTTCCAGTTAATTTCCACGTGATTTCCGGCATTAAACGTAAGAAGTACCAAGACCAGTAAGAATGATTGGTTTCAGATGGTCCATACTATAAAAAAAAAATTCACCGGTAGTTCTAGGGTTAAAATCCATGATTTCCTGAGTGAATGATACCCTTCGACTCATCCCGAAGAACAACTTACTCCATTCATCTGGGTTGTTGGTCTAACTTCGCAAAGACTCATCTTGCTGCACTTGTCGCGAATCTATTTGTTGCTTCGTTGTCTCTCTTCTCTTCCCGATCTTTTCCCGATCTTGCTTCACTATTGGTACTTTGCCTTTATTTGTTCGCTGCAGTTATTAAATACGATCACGATGTGTGTTGTGTTGTACTTTGTTTGTTGTTAGCGTGTCTTTGATATTTCACAATACGAACGATATGGTATGATTTCCCAGACCTGCAATCTTTCTCCTCGATCTTGATATTTGTTGATCTGTGGTATTCTCTTGAATTGTGATATTCTCTTGGTATTCTATCTTTGCTTTGTGGTTTCGTTGCCTTTCCTTGATCCTTCCGTCCCGTGCCTTTGCTATTGTTTTAGCCGTAGCTTCTTCCTCTATCTTGCGTTTCTTTTCTTCTTTTTTCCGAGTTGTAGCTTCCCTTTGCACCGTAATTTCTATCCGTTGTCTTGTATCTTGTATCTTGTATCTCCCTACCACGGTTGTTTCTCTCAGCGTTGCGTAATCCGAACTCGAATGTAACCTCCACTTTCGCTTTATTTCGCGTAAAAGGATCTTCACAAATCTTTCCTCGGTGCCAACTCCTTGCTTCAAATCTTCCAACAATGCCTTCTCTCTTATCTTCTCCTAACCTCTCTTTTCTCCAGGTTCCACCGAAAATCCCCTTATATTGGCTACTTTTCACCTCGGTTCCAACCAAATCCACAACCACAATATCTGTTTTTTATCCGTGCTTCATTAGTTTCTCTTTTTTAAAAATTCCCGCTTCTCTTTAGAGTCCCGACTTTTCTTATCATTCCGAGTCAATTGTTCTCCAAGATAGCGAACTTCGATTAAAAGTGGACCGATCTCCGATCAGCCTATCGGGACGCGGTTCTCCGACGGCGAACTGGCGTCGCGACGACTACGACTCGTCGTTATATCGTCGGCGTCGTCGGCGACGATGTCGTCGTTTCGAGGTGACGTTGTCGTCCAAGAGAAGGCGTCTCGTCTCGGAGGGGAGGCCGAACCCGAGAAAGAGAAAAGGATAGAGGAAGCGCACGGTGCTAGTTTTTGCAGTTTGGCCGTGATTTAAACGTTCTCCTAAGAAAAACTGCAAGAAAAAGTACCAAGGTTTCGGGTGTGTCGACAATGGGGGGGAGAATATTTCCAGGACATCTTTTTCGGACGCCTTCACGTGGCTTCGCGGCTTGGCGTCGCCGCCGCCATTTTGGAGAACCTGAGATTCACTCTAGGCGGATAATTGACAGTTTAAATGCAAATGCAGTTGACTTTGTATATTGTATTTTGTTTTGTGCATGTAATGCTGCCATTGTGGAGAACCTGAGATTCACTCTAGGCGGATAATTGACAGTTTAAATGCAAATGCAATTGACTTTGTATATTGTATTTTGTTTTGTGCATGTATTGCTGCCATTTTGGAGAACCTGAGAATCACTCTAGGCGGATGATTGACAGTTTAAATGCAAATGCAGTTGACTTTGTCTATTGTATTTTGTTTTGTGCATGTGTTGCTGCCATTTTGGAGAACTTGAGATTCACTTTAGGCGGATGATTAACAGTTTAAATGCAAATGCAGTTGACTTTGTATATTGTATTTTGTTTTGTGCATGTATTGCTGCCATTTTGGAGAACTTGAGATTCACTCTAGAGCGGATGATTGACAGTTTAAATGCGAATGCAGTTCACTTGGTATGTTTTATGCGTATATTGCTGTGTAAAATGGTATCTTGGCGTCGTCGCCGCCATTTTGGAGAACCTGAGATTCACTCTAGGCGGATGATTATCAGTTTAAATGCAAATGCAGTTGACTTTGTATGTTGCATGTACGTATTGTAGAATAAACTACCATCTTATTTTCGGGGAGAGTGTATTTAGATATAATTGCGTGAAGAAAGATTTATTAGGCCCACTTTTCAAGACAAGGGAACTATTCTGGACAAGTCTTAATAGATCCAAGATCTGAAATATCGGTTTTTATGCCTTGTCTGTGTTTCAGAAAGATACATTCGTATTTATTAATATTCATTAAGATTTCGAGGTAATAAGAAAAGGGAAGAATAATAATTTTTATTATGGTAGTAGAACAGTAACAGCCGGAAATAGACATAAGACTGTGACATAAGGAAGCAAAGAAACGTTTAGGAACCACTAGTCTAATTGTTAAAAGTACAAAAGAACCCAAAAGAAGGCCAAGGAGAAGGTGCTCGGTTTTTCCGAGATCCTCGGGAAGCCTACAAGAACCAGAACGCGCTTATCTAGGATAACAATGCCGTTCAATGATCAATGACTCATTCCACGAAGAGCCAGGGTTCCTCTGGAGTTCCTAGTGACCGTCAAATCAAAATCCGACACAAGAAACGGACCTTCCGGATAATCTGGAAACCTTGACGAGATTTCACGGCGACCAACTTTGTTGGCGAACACGAGAAAGGGGAATTTTTTATTTTAAATTCAATGCCAGTTTCCTCCTAGAGAAAAGTCTGTCGAAAATTAAGCCAGGTCAGGGAACTAGTTAGATAGTTAAATTGCAAGAGGTATTATTATTACAGAATTTTATGTAAATTTTTCAAAGAGATTCTACACACTTTTCTAGAATTTTGGACGGCTATCAGATTGTCTGGTTTTTTAACAATTGTCCCGTGAGTATGCAGTTTTTCTATGTAAAAGCTGCTTTTAATAGTCTCCAGTATTTATTACTCACTTCTAATCACATATAAATCATGTGTTGCATTGGAAATCATTCGATGGTGATGTATGAGTTTGTTACGATTTTTTATCGATGTGAGTTATGCTTGTTTTGATGCGGTCTTAATTAATCCCCTCATTTGTAATGGATTTTCGATTGACATAAGTTCATGATCCTTATTTGATCATGGTAGCGACATCGATTGTCGAGTTCATGTACTGAATTGGATGTCTTAATGTTTTCCTACTGATGTGAAGTTGTCTACCTCCAAAGTCGTCGGTAATGTAGAAATCGAGGGATATCCAACGATTGAAGCAACTCCGTAACTGTTGTACCCACTGATACATAGAGTTAATAAAAAATGCTTGAATACTGATAAAAACCATTTCTTTTTAAATAAATGCTGTTCATAGAAAGTAAAGTCTCTTGAAAAGGATATACTTAATGTTACAGAAATCTTAAACTCTATATTTCCTTAATCAGAATTGGAAGCATTATTTATGGCGATGCAGATGTGGCGCCATCTTGGATTTTCGTCCTCACTGATAATCTTATAAAGATTCTACTTATCATAAGAATGAAAGGACTGCTCCTTGTAATGTTTGCTTAGGATTAAACTGTTTACACCTCGGTTTATAGATAAAGTTGTCCTAGACATAAGGCTTATTCCTTAGTAGCATAGAATAATTTCTAAATATTTCTTTGTAACCTAGTAGCATAGAATAATTTCTAAATATTTCTTTGTAACCTTTGCCAAATATCTCAAGCGACAGATTTTTTAAGATTCCTTGTAGATTTCATTCGAAGATATTTGAAATGTCTGTTGTAAATCGCAATGACATATTTAGCTTCAATAATTTATAAACATATATAGAAATTATACTTTTTAACTTATGAACATTATAAAAATACATTTTTGACTTCACGACTATTATCGGACATTTCGTTTGGTGGCTTTTCGATGACTTTGAATGACTTTTCTCCAGAATGTCTTTTCAAAGTCCCATATGTGTTTAATAAATTGATTACGTTATTTAGAAATATACTGGAATCATCTCTGAATGTTGAACCGCATGAAAATTTCTCTGAACATTATTATAATTAATTGAAATTCCAGGAAACTCAAGATTCTCTTCTAAGATTCTACAACTCTGTTTTTTAATATGATAAGTTTTTAGCATATTATTTTTAAACGAAGATACTCACTTTATTCATACAATCGACTGTAGGTTTATGGTACTTAATGTCTTCTCGTTCATTGTAATAAAATGATAAGATATTTTTTATAGTTTGCGGTCTGTGTCAACATTTTACTTTCGAAATGCTTCGGCTTTGGTGTATATGGTTTTAACAATCGTAGGTTTAATTACCAAGTTTACTTTCCCTAAGGATGAGGGCATACGGAACCCGCATTTTAAAAATGTATTTCATGTAACGAGTAGTTGTTGAAATCCTCTCAGTTTCACATTTCACGCGAACAAGTGAAGATGTCCCTACAATTCTTTTTACTGGTACTTACTCTACTCCAAGGTAAATAAAAATTTAAAAAATAAATTTACCTTCTAAACTTCCATTCGACGATTTTAGTAACACTTAACATTGTACTTTTACAATTTTCGTTTGCCGCAATTATTGGCGAGTTATTTAATTTTTTTGTAACATTTCAAATTGTGGTACGCGTTAATGAACAGAGAGAAATGTTCTTTTGCGAAGCCTTTTGAATTCCAGATTTATTTCCTGTGGTTATATATCGTTATTTGCGATTCCCAGTAAAATTGCCATAATTTTGGATATCAAAGCTTATTGTTAAAGGAGAAATTTTGTTACAGGGTCAAAATCTCTTAAAGGAGATTCCTTTTCGGAGACCGCAAATATCCTTCCCAAAGATGGTGAGAAGGATTTATTCCCAATATTGCAAAATAGAGGTATTATTGAATAAGTCGTTAACAAATTTTTACATTATTTTTAATTCACTGCCTGCTAATAAATCCGCAACATCCAAGAATAAAAATCGTGTAAATCATAGTCAAACATATATTATTTAGGATAATATAAAGAGTTTAATGTTGAATTAAAATATACTTGTAATTACCTTGCTTATCAGACATGCGCAATTTTAATTTCTGGATGCTGCAACTTTTTCTTGAGCAGGGTATATTAATAAATTTTAATGTACCATCCGGGCGTTTTATTTTATTAAATACTTTGCTATTTAATAAAATATCAACAAATCCGCAACATCCAAGAATAAAAATCATGTAAATCAGAGCCTAACATATATTATTTAGGATAATATAAAGAGTTCAATATTGATTAAAATATACTTGCAATTATCTTTCTTATCAGATATGCGCAATTTTAATTTCTGGATGCTGCAACTTTTTCCTGAGCAGGGTATATTAATAAATTTTAATGTACCATCCGTGCGTTTTATTTAATCAAATACTATGTTATTTAATATATCATTAAATAGTTTGCTCCGCAATCTCAATACTTGACAAACTGAATATATTTACACGTTATAAATATTTTTTTCAGTGCAATCAACAATTCCCCGGATGAAGGAATGGAACTTGGGGAAGAAATCGAATATGGAGATAATAAAAAATGGGACAGAAGAAACAGTTTCGAGAAGAAAGTCAAGAATTCTCGGAAATATGTCTTTTTTGGCTGGTGTGGGAATTGGTGGACTATCAAAAGCAGCTTCATCTGGAATTTCTTCATTTCCGAAATTCTCATTAGCTCTAAATCTAAACTCTCTGGGCATCCCCGCAGTTGTGGACCTTTATCAGCAGTCCAATTCTAACCCTTATCATTATTTGAGCTCTGGATCAGGATTGCCCTTTGTGTATCTGATAACTCCAACTGTTGAAAAACCAGAGACCGAAACTCAAAAACATCAATTCCCGTGTCAAAATGACGAGGAATCTATTGAAATTGAAACTACCGGAGTTACTGACGTCGAGAGAACTGAAAAACCGAAAAAGAAAAAATTATCGGAAACGGCTGAGAGCGACGACGATGATCCCGAATACGAAGAGGACGAAAAGTCCAGAGTCTTGGTGAGAACCATTTATTTACCTACTTTATTACAAATCTAATTTCTAGAGTAAACTAATAACTAAATTAACCTTACAATTTTGTCGTTATATCAAATGATTTACATATTCAGCCAGAAAGACAGACAACAAAGGTAGGGGAAAAAAAGCGGACCGTCAGTAGCGATCGCAAAAAACAATCGGCTGTCACGACCGGAAGAGGTTCCACAACTTCGCGTCCATTTTCAACAACATTTTCAACACTGCCGGAAGAATTGGTCGATCCAGGAAATGCGACATTACCGAGTGAAGTTGCAAATAGCACCGGAAGTACCAATCAAACGGAAAAACCACCTTTTTTAGGGTATTACGGTGGAAGTCCGCAGCCGATAGATCATTACGACTTAACGAGGCCAATATCTCGACCTATCTTCCTCAATCCGGAATACCAATATCCGCCAAACTTTACGCCAAACTTAACGCCAAACTTGACGCCAAACTTAACGCCATACTTAACGCCAAACTTAACGCCAAACTTTCCGCCGAGCTTCCCGCCAAATTTCAAATCGAACGATGAATTCGATTCAAGGAGGATCGAATCAACCGGCTCGTTTCCCTCGGATCACGAATCTCCGTACAATTATTTAGATTATGGCTATCATTCTATTGTTAACGACCCAAATTTGCAATCTGGTTTTGTACCAGTTTCATCCGATAGGCCGGCACTAGAGCGGAAGTTAGGTCGAACTTAATTCGATCTGTTAACAAAATTCAAATTTTCCGCCAAATTTCAAATTTCGCCGCAATTTCATCCGACAGACCGCCACTTGAGCGGAAGGATGAAAATCTTTTTTAATAATTATACAAGATTGTCATAAAGATTATAATAAATATTTTCGATTCCGTGGTTGAGTCATTAGAGTCCTCTATATTTATAATACGTTATTGTTCATAGGTTATTTAAAAAGTTACGTAGTTTTCATAGCAGAGTTTCGATGTGATATCATAAGGAGAGAAAATTCGAAGAAGATGAAGATAAAGAAATGAAGAAAGAAACAATTAGCAAAGACTTTTTTATATGGCATAATGCCCACCAAACACGGTTACGTAACAATAATATAACATAACGTTTGTGACATGTAATCTAACATACATATAACATATAAGTAAGATTTGTATCACTATTTCCTCCGCAGCGATATAACCCTGTTATAAAACAAATACTGTAACGTATGCATAACATATTGATAACATGAAATGCTTATAAATTTGTAACAATGTCACCGAACGGTAATAATTCGACGTTAAATAATATTAATGTATCTTTTGAATAACAATCGTTATATATTATGTTATTTCAGTGTTATGTAACCGTAACATAGGGTGCTTGGTAGGTACATATAGGAGGTAGTAATAAATTCTAGACACGAGTTTGATAAGGTGGACACGACAATTTCAATAAACGTCGTGATTTTGGACATAACGTTGTCGAGGATAAGAAAAAAAAAAAAAAAAAATCGTCAGAGGAGCCTCGACGACGGTTTCGATCCCCTCTCGTCATGATTTGTCGTCGAACACGAATTTCGAGCGAATAAGGCCCAGAAAAACAGAGCAAGTGTCATTCCTAGTCAGTGTGTACTTGATAGTGTGTAGTGATTAGAACCGACATGTACACCAGGAGTGTAATTTTCCTGCTTATTACTTCGTCTGGAATCTATGCTCATCCTCGAAGGTATAAAGGTATGTTTTTCCCTTCCTTGTTAACCCTTTGAACACGGAGCCATTTCGACATATGGGCGAAATTCCTCTGACCGTGCAGGCAATATTGGACCAAATGTCGGGCGCCTCTAGGCGCTCTTAGTAGCCAAAGGGTTAAGGTGAAGTGAAACACGTTGAGAAAAGTATCATCAATACTTTTATGTTTTATTTATATAGAATGACCATTTCATATCGCCTTGACACTTTGTACACGAAGCCATTTCGACGTATGGGCGAAATTCCTCTGACCGTGCAGGCAATATTGGACCAAACGTCGGGCGCCTTTAGGCGCTCTTAGTAGTCAAAGGGTTAATATTCCTTTCGTAATGAGTGTTCCATAATTGATCACTCGATTAAAATCCTACGAGATAAACAAGAGGGGTGACAATCATGACGTCCTGCACAATGGACAGAAATTAAACAGTTTTAAATAATTTTCATTTAAATTGTACATTAAATGGTCCTTATCAAAAGAGTATAATGATATTGTTGAAACATGGTATTGAAAGAGTGACATGGGTAATTGTTAATTATGGACTGCCTGTAGTGTTGAGCTGTTTAAATAGGGATTAAAGTTCACTGAGGAATATCTCAATATCGCTTTACTTTTGCAAGTGACAACTTTTTCTTCGACCGTCGCGATTTCGAAGGAAATTATTATTCAGCATTATCATGTGTTTCGAGTAAAAGTTACTTTGTCACTGATTAGCCATTCTATGCCATACTTTACGACTTCCGGTATATCACTCACGAACTATTCTAAGGAGGTGTTCATGACGCCATCTTGCACGGTATAGGTTAAATTCAGCAGAAAAAAATTAACCAACTATTTCCAGAAGCGAATGCCATGGATTTTAAACTGTAAACATTAGCAGTTCGTTACAATTAATGGATTCAACTATTATTTATGAACGTCCTTTTAAAACTATGATGAACTCTCCACGATGCCATTTTGCGAGACAGAATTTAATTTCAGCAGTAAAAAATTAACCAATTGTTTCTAAATTAATGAATGCCATGGATTTGAAATTGCGACCGTAAACATTAGCAGTTTGTTGCAATTAATAGCTTCAACCATTGTTTATGAACGTCCTTTTAAAACTATTAACAAACTCTCCACGATGCCATTTTGCGAGACAGAATATAATTTCAGCAGTAAAAAATTAACCAATCTTTCCTAAATTAATGTAAAACCGTGGATATGAAATCGTGACGATAAATAGCAGTTGGTAGCAATTAATAAATTTAATAATCATTTAGGAAAAAGTACCCTTCTTGAGGATAATGGAAACATTTAGTTATCAATCGTAACCGGTTCTTCGATAACGCTAACATAAATGATTAATCTCTATGTTAGTTATTTATTTCCGCTTTGTAACGTGTGTATGGTAATTAATTTTGTTTTTAGGTGATGACGCGAGCGACGATTTGAATATCGAGGATAAGAATCGGGCCACTAACGAAATTGGAAAAGCCATTTGGAACGCGGCCATTACGATCGACAAGTTTGGCCGCGAAATTAATCGCGAGTTGGATTTGGCTCTGGAAGAAAGAGACATATCAGAAAATAGTCCCGAGAAGTCGGAAAAAGCTAAGCAACTCTTGCAGGACTCAAAAAAGAGATTAGACATCGAGTTAAGAAGAAACAATGGGCTCCTCAAACGCCTTCATTCTTTGGGCTGGCGTGAATCAATAGACGCAGCTCCTTATACGACTACAAACGAGAAACATCTCGTAATTAAAAAACCTGGCGTGCAGGGAAAGTTATTCGAGAGATCAGCAGGTACGTCCCAATTTGGTTAACCCTTTCGCTGCCACACAAATTTTTTNCATAATTAATCATTTAAATTCGACTTTAAAATGAAAATGAAGATAAATATGGATTTTCTTTCAGGCCCCGAATACACTTTTTCCGATAGATCTTCCGACTTGAGTCGACCAGAGGATGAAGAAAAACGCATCGAGTTGATATCAACTTCTAGGGAAAAAAGAGGATCAAAGAACGACGCCGACTCATTGGTGCTAATCGATCAGGTGAGAAATCCGGGTAAAAAAGAAACAGGAAACCAAGAGGAAGAGACGGAAAATTTTGGACCATCGCAGAATGACGATTTGAAGAACTCGGATAGGAAATTTGAAAATGAAAATTTCACCGATTCGTCAAGAACAGGGATAGGAGGAGACGAGGAAGAACCTGGAGACGCGGATGTTGATAAGGACACGGAATACCCGGAAATCGACGAACCATCTGATTATGATGGAACAGAAAATTCAAATGGAACAATTGGAAGTGAAGTTGGTTCCGAGTTGTTGAAAAAGTCTGAAGATTTGGGGGAAGAAGATGAGGCGAAAGATCCGGAAGATCCGAACACAGCTGAATACTCAGACGATGAAGAACCTTCATATGACGAGGATGAAACAGAGAATTCGAACACGGCAGTGGGAAATGAAGTCGATACTGATTCATCAACAAAATCTGAAGATGTGGAAGAAGGAGATGAAGAGCCAGAAAATTCGGATGACAAGAATACAGCGGAGTACCCAGAAAATGAAGAAGATTCTCATTTAGAGGATGAAAAGAAAAATTCAAGTACGAAAGTGGGAAATGAAGTTGACACTGATTCATCAACAAACTCTGAAGATGAAGAGCCAGAAAATTCAGATGACAAGAATACAGCGGAATACCCAGAATATGAAGAAGATTCTCATTTAGAGGATGAAATGAAAAATTCAGACACGAAAGTGGTAAATGAAGTTGACACTGATTCATCAACAAAATCTGAAGATGAAGAGCCAGAAAATTCAGATGACAAGAATACAGCGGAATACCCAGAAAATGAAGAAGATTCTCATTTAGAGGATGAAAAGAAAAATTCAAGTGCGAAAGTGGGAAATGAAGTTGACACTGACTCATCAGCAAAATCTGAAGATGTAGAAGGGGAAGTTGAAGAGCCAGAAAACTCGGATAACGCAAATACGATAGAATACCCAGAAAATGAAGATTCTCATTTAGAGGATGAAGCGAAAAATTCAAGTACAAAAATGGGAAATGAAGTTGACACCGATTCATCAACAAAATCTGAAGATGAAGAGCCAGAAAATTCGGATGACAAGAATACAGCGGAGTACCCAGAAAATGAAGAAGATTCTCATCTAGAGGATGAAAAGAAAAATTCAAGTACGAAAGTGGGAAATGAAGTTGACACTGACTCATCAGCAAAATCTGAAGCTGTGGAAGGAGAAGTTGAGAAGCCAGAAGATCCAGATGCAGAATACCCAGAAAACGAAGTTCCTGATTACGAGGATGAGACCGAACATTCAAATTCAACAGAGAGTGAAGTTGGCTCCGGGTTGACAGATCCTGAAGATTTAGGAGAAGAAGATGCAGAGCCTGTATCTAATGGCAAGGAATACCCGGAAACTAATGAATTGCCCCAAAATAAGGGATCGAGCAACTGGAGTACAACAGTTGGGAGTGAAGTTGGCTCCGGTTCAACAAAGCCGGAAGATTTGAGAGAAGAAGACGAAGAACCAGAAAATGAAGATGCTTCTGGTGTCGGGAAATACCCAGAACATCAGAAGAGCGAAAAACAGCCCCCGAGTGAAAATCCAAAGAAAGATTTAAAAACGACAGTCGAAGATGCAAGCAATTCCAATTCTTCGGTAACAATGGAGGATCCGGGGAAATCGGATGAAGATGCTTCGAGAGGATCGGAATCCACCGAAGACTCCGAAATGTCTCATGAAGACGACGGCCAGGAATATATGGGCGCAGGTGGAGGAGACGAAGAAGTCCCGGAAGAGTCATCCGAGCAACAAAGTGACGAGGAAGAGCCAAACGACTTGAAAAAGGACGACAGCGACGCGGGACATTTAAGAGGCGAGAAATGGACCGAAAATGGCGGCGAGCCCAAAATTCCGGATAGGCAGAGAAACGATGGAGAAAGCAAGAAAAACTCGCGTAAAGAAGACAGCGAGAAAAGCAGGGAAACGGTGAAAAAGAAGAAGGTGGAAAACGATCAGCCAAGAAACGCTACGACTTTAGATGGGAAACTTCTCCCCAAGGAAAATAAGGCTGAAGAAGAGACAGGTGAGAAAATAATATAAACTATATTTACCATTATGCAGGTATTGTTATGGAGTAAATCTGTTATTTTGCAGGAAAAACGAATTCGGAACCCGATTCTTCCCAGAAAGCCGCACCGGAAGTTCCCTTCACCTCCTCTAAAGAGTCTTCAGACGCCGCAGAACAGAAACCGGAAGTGAAGCTGGTTCCGCTTCCCACGGAAGAGAACGCTTCCGGAAATTCGACGAAATCGGCGACAGGGACTCCGAAATTGAACGTTGAGGGTTTTCCTAACAAAACTAGTATACTGTTGAAAATTATTAAGAAAACGATAATCCTAGCGCCGAAAATCGAATCTCGGGGAGCGATTATCTCCGATCTGCCGGAAAAACCTGAGGACGCCATTATGGTTGCGCCTCCAATTTCTTCAAATTTCCCAAACGAGGAGAGGCAGGGTAAAAATATTTTCAATACTGACCCCGGAAGTCAAAGCACACGGACAATTCTCGAGGAACTTTCTGCACAATTACGCATATTACTTCAAGGATTACTAACGCCTCCAAGTAAGGACACGAAGTCTGAAAAATTAGCTTCAGAAGGAACAATTTTGACTGCGAATAAATGTTCACCGGACACTGCAACAAATCCAGGTAAACGATGAATGATAATGGTCGCAAGATAGAAAATAATTGATATTTATAACATTCAATTTTTTTTCTTTTAAACGATGAATGATAATAGGCGCAAGGCAGAAAATAATTGATATTTGTAACGTTTAATTTTCTTTCTTTTAAACGACGAATGATAATGTTCGCAAGATAGAAAATAATTTATATTTATATCGTTGAATTTTCTTTCTTTTAAACGATGAATGATAATAGTCGCAAGATAGAAAATAATTGATATTAATAACGTTTAATGATCATTCCTTAATTTCAAAATTTCAAAATGATGGATGAGTCATCCTTTAAACGATGAATGATAATGTTCGCAAGATAGAAAAAAATTGATATTTATAACGTTGAATTTTCATCCTTTAAACGATGAATAATAATGGTCGCAAGATAGAAAATAATTGATATTTACAACGTTGAATTTTCTTTTTTTTAAACGATGAATAATAATAGGCGCAAGATAGAAAATAATTCATATTAATAACGTTTCATTTTTATTCCTCAATTTCAAAACTTCAAAATGATGAATGTTGAATGATGAATTTTATAAAAAAGTGTTTTATTCGTATCGACTGATTTGAAGATCACGTCATCTTAAGGTGACTAAAACATATTTTCAGGTTGTGCACCAGTTTTTCCGGAGACAGCAACAATGGCAACTCCTAGGTTGCTCCCATTGGTGTCTATGCCATTAATGCCATCATTTTTACCATTTTCTCAAACAACGAGCCCACTATTACTGGCTCTCTGGTCTTCAAGATCACTTTCGACTCCATTACAAGGACAACAACCCTACGACGAGGGGCGAATGTTGCTGATGGTTCCTTTAATAATCGAGGAACTCCGTAAAGGAACCCTTTCCTTCGAAGAAAAGAGCAACCTTGCATACATATATGGCGAGTTGTGGCCCTTAATAGTGGAGGAGTCTCAGAGGAAATCTGGAGAACGAATGAACAAGAAGCTTCTTCAGTTCTTCGCGGCGATTAGCCGACCTGTGAGAAACCTATAAAATTCGACGTTCATATCCTTTTTACATTCTGCGAAAGAGATCTCGAAGGATCTCAAAGGGTCTCAAAGGATTTGAAACTCTTTCGGCCATCCGAGTGAACCAACGCCATGTCTCATTACGCCATCTTGTTTTAGCTGAACATCTAAACAAAGGAGGAAAAATCGCAATTCATATCCTTTTTACATTGTTTGAACAAGATCTCGAAGGATCTCAAAGGATTTCGAAGGATCTGAAACTCCCTTGGCCATCCGAGTGGACGAACGCCATAATTCATGACGCCATTTGTTTTAGTTAAACATCTGAACAAAGGAGGAACCTGTAAAATTCGAAGTTCATATCCTTTTCACATTCTGCGAACGGGATTTCGAAGGATCTCAAAGGATCTTGAAGGATTTCGAAATATCTGAAACTCCGAGTGGACCAATGCCATAACTCATGACGCCATCATCTTTTAGCTAAACATTTAAACAAATGCAAAGTTGCTTCAACTTCTCTGTACATAATTTGAAATAATTCTTGTACTTGTACTTGTACGTAGTTTCCTGCATTTTAACGCACTTCACGTCCTGAGATCAAGGAATTAAGTTTTAAGGTGATATGAAAGGTGTATTCCATGTACATAAAACGTCAAAATATTTATATAACGTTTCTCTAACTGAGTACACCAAATAATTTGGCATTTTAACACGTGATTGTGGAGGTCCTAATGAAAGACATGAAACTCATTTATAGAATGACATTTCATGTCACCTGACCCTTTCATATCACTTTAACTGGACTAATCAATGCTGACTCTGATGTGCCGAAGTGCAAATGACTTTACAAAGTTAATGGACTACAGCACTGCCGAGTTTCGGCGTGTGTTGGACATTGTCACTTTTTCATTTTAACTATACTTTAGATAGTAGCTACCGATTGCAATCGCTTGTTACGACCTAACTAAACGTGGTTGGCTTCGTTTAAGTGGAACACTCGACGATTGTAACGAACTGTGATGAAAAATAAATGAACAGTGCGCTGAAATTATACTTGATATTGAAAAATTTAGTAATACCGATGCCTGGGTGATCTATATTTCTGTTTCATTAAGGTGATACGAAAGGGTTATATATAAAAATGTCAAAATATTTATACAAATTTTCCTCATACTGGGTGCATCATGTGAAACATCAACACGTGTTTATTAAGGTGATATGATTACTAATACCGATGCATATGAAAGAGTCGTACATAAGAATGTCAAAATATTTATAAAACTTTTCCTCATACTGGGGGCACCGAATAATTTGAAACATCAACACGTGATTATGAAGGCCTTACAAAGAACGCGAAAGTTATGAAATTTTATTTTTCAAAAAAGGGATTTTTTATGTTCAGCCTAGACTAGAATCAAGATCACATTTCTTTGTGAAAAATGAAATGTCACGAGCATCGCGTTCTTCCTTAGGGCCTCCATAATCATGTGTTAATGTTTCAGATAATTCGGTGCACTGAGTATGGATAAAAGTTTTATAAATATTTTGACGTTTTATAGGTATAGAATGACCCTTTCATATAACCTTAAGGCTGTCTCGTACTGGACTTTTGTCTACACAAGCTCGAAATGAATTTAGGGGACTTGGAACAGGAGGCTGGTATTATTCGCAAGAACACTCGCAATGTAGGCCGGCGTGAAAACAGTCTGAAAATAGATTTTTGTTACTTTTTAGCGCACTCTAGCGCACACCAGTCATGTAAATATTAATCCAAACCAGACATTTCGTGGGCCAGATGAGTGATCCGAGAAAAGAAATGCCCATTGTCTGCAGAAGTACGCATAAACCTATATATATGAACTGCTAATCAAATGGGGAAAACGCATATCCCAATTAAAAAGAGAATAAAGAGGATGGATGGGAACCTTCTTTCTATTACCGACCATCGCATATGATGATATGAAAGAGCCATTCTATATATATCAAAACGTCAAAATATTTATAAAACTTTTCTCCAAACTGGGTGCACCGAATCATTTGAAACTTCATCACGTGATTATGGAAGCCATAAGGAAAAATGCGATACTCGTGAAATTTCGCCTTTCAAGAAACATTTTTTTTATTTAGCCTAGACTAAAGCCAGGATTGCATTTTTTCGGAAAAATGAAATTTCACGGGCATCGCTTTCTTCCTTAGGGCCTTCATAGTCACGTGCTGAAGTTTAAATGATTCGGTTCATCCAGTTTGAACAAAAAGTTTTATAAACATTTTGACGCTTTATACAAAGTGTATATATATATAAGGGTCATTACAAATATATAGAATGACCCTTTCATATCACCTTAATGTGTCAACCCGGAGTCAATTATGAATTTTTTCGTAATGAAACGTGCCAGCCTTGGAAATAGATTACTTAACGCAGATTTCATGTTTTTATATGTGCCCATAATTATGAAAGTGGTCTAAGTCATATATTTTTTGTTTCGAAATTGCATTGAATTAATTTCGTTTGAAATAATATGGCGTGAAATAACTGATAAACTCATTTTTTTTTAATTTTGACTTAGACCACTATCATAATTATGGGCACATATATCTCAGACTACAATCAATGTCACATTTTTTTGTAAAAAAATGAAATTTCACGTACATCACGTTCTTCTTTAGAGCCTCCATAATCACGTGTTAAAGTTTCAGATAATTCGATGCATCCAGTTTGGAGAAAATTTTCATAAATATTTTTATGCTTTATTGCCATTCTATATATGCCATATATATGTATGTGCATGTAGAATGACCCTTTCATATCACCTTAATATGTCAACCCGGAGTCAATTATGAATTTTTTCGTCATGAAACGTGCCAGTAGTGGAAATAGATCTCTTAACGCAGATTTCAAGTAAACAGTGCAAATGCTGCTAAACGGATGTGCAAGCTCATAAGTTTGCCTAGACGAGTTGGGAGGCTTAAATAGTGTTTGTCGCCTGAGTTATTGCGGAACAGGTTCGAGCATAAATTGCTGAGACAAATATTGCTCGCCAGCGGCACCACGCTTATTAATAATACTTGCTAGCATGAAAAGCGCGCAACCTCGGCAACGTTCGAGTCGGCAAATTTTCCAGCGAGGAGCTGTCTAACGTTGCTTAATTACAAGAAATTAAATTTAAAGTAAGTCTAATTAACGGATCCGATCCATCTCATTGGCAGCCAAGCACGTATTCTTGAATTCCAACCTGGTGCCAAAATATTTGCACGCGCCCGATATTTTATTCCAACAGGTAGATACTCTTGGACGACGAAGTGAAACATCTCGAGGAACTTGATAGACGTCGGTAAAGAAGCATTTTCCGAAATGCATACATTGCCGACGTTGGTTTTTATATTGACAGCTGTGTCGAATTATATTGGGTATTGTACCGAATGGCATACTCCACCTGTCGTTTTCGTACAATATTTTAAAGTAATAATATTCATAATAATTATAAAGAAATCGAAGCAAAAGGAAATCCTCTTGATTCGTGGTTTCTGAGGCCCTAATTGGCTGCGGAGGGATCCCCTGCGCCATCTGTGATTTCCGTGTCAACTAAATTTTCACTTTGAGGCCTCGTATTACCGACGGTTTAACACAGTAGCGTATAAGACACCTTTTTTTATGTTATGCCGTTCATATACGAGTTTCTTGATTATCAGACTGTTCTAAATTGTCGTACAATTGTCCTGACACTTTCGTTTCTCATATCAGAGCATTAAATAATTGTATATCGATCGAATATGAGAGCTCGACGGTATTTTGAATTCTGGTCAGGACTAAGTTAACAAATTTTTGTCGAAAATCCAAACAATTGTTAGTTATTGACAATTTTTCCTGACGTCCGTAAAGCCGCTAAAAATGGTTATTTGACATTAACGACTCCAACAAATAATTTCCAACAGCCCAAAAGATGACTAATTCCATGTACTAGGTCGAAGAATAAGCTCCCGCGATTTTTAACCCTTTGGCTACTAAGAGCGTCTAAAGGCGCCCGACGTTACGTCCAATATTGCCTGCACGGTGAGACGAATTTCGCCCATATGTCGAAATGGCTCCGTGTTCAAAGGATTAAAGTAACGTAATAAATAAAAAATAAACAGGACTCATTCATTCTGTACATCACCTAATAGTAACACTTATTCACCTACTTGTTGCATGGGCGTTGCTAAAATTCATAAAAAAAAGCTATTTCTTTTATAATCAGTGCCCTTAACGATCGTCCGATATTTTAGCCGACATTGAATGGAACGGCTCCCTAAATAACAAACGTTCTTCTATTTTCTCTCTACGCACGCTCGCTTCGTTGACGCTTCGTTTTCGTTTGAACAATTGCTTGCGGATTGCACAGATGGCGTGCGATGGTTTACGCAACTCCACGTATTCACGTTAACTTTTTCGCTACGGCGGATCGGCGCTGCCTCGGTACAGGGCAATCCCAAAGAAGACGCACTTAAATTTCATTGCTAAGAGGACGTAACTTTTAACTTCTAGGTACGTGAGATAGGGAATTATACGTTTATATTATATCGACGTCGCATCCTGTCCGACAACGGTTCAGGTCGAACGAGATGTTACAGAGTTTCTTTACGTCAAGGATCGACATTTCGGTAGCTCACGAAATAGAAATATAATTCTGCCATTGCTACAGAATAAGAAATAAACGTCCAATGGACTTAACAAATCGAGGAAAAGACCTTTCTTAAAAATAGGGAATTATATGTTCATATTAAATCGACGTCGTATCTTGTCCGACAACGCTTCAAGTCGAACCAGATGTTACAGAGTTTCTTTACGTCAAGGATCGACATTTCGGGAGTTCCCAAAATAAAAATATAATTTTGCTATTGGTACAGAAAAGAAACGAACGTCTAATGAACTTAACAAATCGAGGAAAAGATCTTTCTTAAAAATAGGGAATTACATGTTTATATTATATCGACATCGCATCCTGTACGACCACGGTTCAGGTCAATCGAGATGCTACAGAATTTCTTTACGTCAAGGATCGACATTTCGGGAGTTCTCAAAATGGAAATATAATTCTGCCATTGCTACAGAACAAGAAACGTCCAATGGACTTAACAAATCGAGGAAAAGATCTTTCTTAAAAATAGGGAATTATATGTTTATATATCGACGTCTCATCCTGTCCGACCACAGTTCAGGTCAAACGAGATGCTACAGAGTTTCTTTACGTCAAGGATCGACATTTCGGGAGCTCACGACATAGAAATATAATTCTGCCATTGCGACAGAAAAAGAAACGAACGTCCAATGGACTTAACAAATCGAGGAAAAGATCTTTCTTAAAAATAGGGAATTATATGTTCATATTATATCGACGTCGCATCCTGAGATAAATATTACAGCTAGATGCAAGTCGACGTTTCGATGAGCGAGAGGGTTAGAAGGAGCGAGGGACTTTATTCTGGGATCCGGGGAGCAGGGTCCGGTTATTTCAAGAAGGCCACCAGCGCCATTGTGTCTCGTTCGCTCGCCCGAGACAGTCCGAGACGGTTTTGCATCTCGACGGTTAGGAAGATCCTTAAGGTGAAGTGACACCCCCCTCAAATCAGTCGATCCAAATAAGACACTTCTCTTTAAGAGTATTGAACCGACCCGTCTGAAACTTTGACACATGACTCGTGAGCACCTAGGAATTACCCTGATACTTTGAAAATTTGGACTATCGACAAAAATTGTTTAACCTAGCCCATACCAGAATATTTCGATCGATATACAATTATTGCAGGCTCTGATATGAGAAACTCGCATTTGAACGGGATAAAGGCAAATAAGTGTCTTATGCTCTACTATGCTAAAACGATGGTAATACAAGGTCTGGGAGTGAAAATGTAGTTGACTCGGAATTCACAGATGGCGCAAGGGGTCCCTCTGCAGTCAATTAGGGCCTCGGAAACCACAAATCCAGAGGATTTCTGGAGTTTTACTTGGATTTCTTTACACTTATTGCATAAAAATGACAGATGGAGTATGCCATTTAGTACAATACCTTATATAATTCGACACAGATGTCAATATGAAATCATCGTCGGCGATATAGGTATTTAGAAAAACCTTCTTTACCGGCGTCGATGAAGTTCCTCGACGTGTTTCACTTCACCTTAAGGGTCGGTCCTTGAAGACCCCTGGGAGGCGTCTTTACGTAAATTAGGGCCAGGAGTCCCTTTAACTCTAAATATACAGCGTTGGGTTGAACGTCCCGGACTTCCTGTCTCCTTATTCCTTCCCTTTTTTCTTACTTTCACGCTTTCCCTCTTTCTCGTCCCTCTTTACTCGACACCGAAACCTAATAGCCTCTCGGAGGCTCTAGGACACGTATTCCTGCAGGACCGTTTCCTGTTCGAGCTCGCGACGTGCCGGATGGGAGACCGCAGAGTGTCCTGGACGTCCGGCGAGAGAACAGGAACAGGTCGGCTGGCGTCCTTTTTCGTAACGTCTCCTCCCCTTTATCGGATCCCTCGTTATCGAAGGAGCCATCTTTTGTAGTAACTACTGATGGGGAATCGTCGATAATCCGCAACATCCGTTGCGATGCATTACGTACAGGAAAAATGTCGGTGCACTCCGGTGTGGGGTAGTTCCAAGAGGAGGTCCTGCTCCTCCACTTACAAGATCGTCCTACAACAAAGGATATTGTTCTTCAGTAGGCGACTCGTAAACATGCATACCGTAAAATTGGGCATTTCGGAGGAATATTATAGACACATTTCCTACCTAAGTTCCTTTGTACTGTAAAAAATATTTTCGGAGGTTATTAGTACTTGATCCTTAAGGATTTATGAAACTTCTATGACGATCCTAGAAGAAAGACATGTTATTTTTTATTCATTAAAAATTTGTGCCGAGCCAGTTCATATGAATGGTCTCGTATTTTCACTACTAAAAGCGCTCCGTAATACCGTGAGCTACTCATTTTTCACATTTTCGTTCAATTTGCTTTACGGAATAGACCCCTAGAGTCTCGGTTTTAAGACCGAACGTCACTACTTACCCAGCCGCGTTTCATTTGTCATATGAAATCAAAGGTCTTTCATTAAAACAATTATTTTTCCTGATTTCCGAGTTAACGGCTCGATATGAGCGGCACTGCGGACGAGCAGGTCGCGGAAGGGCCTCTTCTTGCGGAGAGGACGCGCGCTTGCCGGGAAAACCGTCTCGTCGCATCGCGTCGGCGCACGTGTGCGTCCGTGCGGGTCGCGTCCACACAGGCGCGCGGGCAGCGTGCATGTGCCGGGCAAGCGCGCGTGCAAGATGGGGGACGCGGAGACAGCTGTGGGGCAGCTGGCAGCGCGTGCCGTGAACCTATGGGGTCTCTGCACGCCGCGGCTGCGCACTCGTCACCGGCCGAAGCACCCTGCGACCGAGTCGAACGAACTTCGATTTTTAATATCGATTGCGCCCCTCGATTTGAAAAATTGATTTAAGGTAATATGAAAGTGCGATATACAATATACAAAGAAGTTAAAATATTTATAAAACTTTTCTCCAAACTGGGTGCACCGAATTATTTCAAACTTTAACACGCGATTATGGAGGCTCTAAGGAAGAACGTGAGATTTCATTTTTCGACAAAATAATATTTTTTTTTGCTTCTTGGTCGAGATAAATACAACATTTTTTTCGAGACAGGAAATTTCATGAGCGGCGCGTTATTCCTTAGGGACTCCATAATTACGTGTTAAAGTTTCAGATAATTCGGTGCACCCATTTAGGAGAGGTTTTATAAATATTTTGAATTTTTATATGCATATATCACACTCTCATATCACCTTAACTCGTTGAAATAAGAATTTCTTTGGAATACCTAGCCCTGAGGCTTGTATAAATCATACTTGGATATTCACTGATAAAAAATGTCCATGTAAAAAAGAAAAACATATTCAGACATTGGTTATTCCGATGCCACAAAGTGAATTGCGATAAAATTGCCTCTGTAATGTCATATTCAAGGTAAGTTATAAAAAGTTACAACGTAATGTTACGTTTAATTCAAGTGTAAATGCGATAATACGGTAAGTATACAATGTCGGGGGTGTTTGTTTTGTAATTTGTCATTTTTACATTTTACCCTCTTTTATGTGAAACGAGGTTATGAGGCGGGTTACAGTATAGGTAAGTTTACATCGATTTTTATCAAGATATTAAAATAGTTGAGGTTAGGGAGTTAATCGGAGACTGATACGAGAATACTTATGTAAATTTAAGAAAAATATGCGGAATACGAGGTAAGGGTAGGTCTTTATTCGGTAAATTTTATTCAGAGAGATATTTAGTAGCTGCATGGAGACATTTGTCGATGTCGTTTTCTACCCAAGTGGGATACTCGAAGTTTTGTAAAGTAAACGTTTTATTTTGCATTTTATTTTTTTGCGCACGCATTTTACGCGTTTTAAACGTTCACGCATTTTAAACGTTTTGTTACTTGTCTGTTTGAGTAACTTTGCTGGGTATAAAAATGGTTTTTGTTTATATTCTGCAGGGATTAATTTGCCTGAGTGCATCCAAATGTACATTCGGTGGAAGATCGTTTTCGTTTAGTTTCTGGAGGGCAGCACCTGTACTGTCGCAAGCACTTAAGGCGTGAGACGTGCTATTTTCAGACCGAGCTTTACTCTTTACAGATGTTAACTAGACTCCACAACCGCTGCATAAAATTGTCTGAAACTGTAGGACTTAAATATTTACGAGTCGTGGACGTTTTGAGAATTGAGACGCTTAGATTAGTTAAGGACGGGAACTTTAATTCGGGGTGTAGAATGTGATTAGGATGCAGTCTTTAGTTTTTAATATTCTATGTTAGTATGGCAATATAACCAAAGATTAAACTCCCTGGAAACTTACAAAAATTGAGAAACCTTTTTTTAATATAATATTCAAGTTATTTTCAGTAATATTAATATACACTAAATGTAATTGAGAATGTTACGGTGATTTAAAAATCTCTGGGGTATTTGAGAGAATTCAAGGGAACTAGGAGAATTTACGGTTAAATTAACTTATGAAAATAATTTATTACTTTTATTAAGCAGCATTGATAAAGTCGAGGTACTTTTTATAGTGTCTCTTTCTGATTCCTTTCTTGCTTGCGATGATTGTTTTATTTCCGCAGGTTGTGTTGCCACTCTAATTCAAGAGGCACAAACAAGGAGGTTAGGTTACTCTTGATAGAATTCTTAGGACTAACTTGAATGTTATTAAAACAACTTAATTCTCAAATAGTCATAAATTTGTCGGGAATTTAATCGTCGGTTATATTTTTGTTCTCGGTTATATTACCATTGTAATCTAACGCATTAAAAGCCATAGTTATATTACTTAAATTTAAATTCTCAAAAATGTCAACGTCGGTTATATTCTTGTTCTCGGTTATATTACCAGGGTAACATAACGCACTACAAGCCATAGTTATATTACTTAAATTTAAATTCTGATGAATGTAATCGTCGGTTATATTCTCGTGCTGGGTAATATTACCAGGGTTATACCCTAAAAACACTAGAACCTATATTACTAGATTATACTTACTTGCTCACGACTTACATTGCTTGAATTGAAATTCTCGACAATTAAAAAACCCTACCAACAGGCGTCCCCTATCTATATTACTAGTTACGAAAACCCTAGTTATATTACTTAAATTTAAATTCTGATGAATATAACCGTCGGTTATATTCTCATTCTCGGTTATACTACCAGAGTAATACCCTAAAAACACTAGAACCTATATTACTAGATTATACTTACTTGCTCACGACTTATATATCTTGAATTGAAATTCTCGATAATTAAAAAACCGTACCGACAGGCGTGGGTATCGGCGCGAGAGAGAGGGTCGACTCGGCGTGGGTTTCGGCGCGCTTGGGCACGGGCCTGCGCAGTGCGGCGGGCAGCCAATGGCGCGCAGCGTGGGCCGCGGCGGCGAGCCAATCAGCGGCGGCGAGCGCGCGCCCGCGGCCGCGCCGAAGGGGGATCGGCATCGGTCGGCCACTCGCACGTGGACCGTCGCCAGTGGCGCATGCACGCGCGACCCTCTCGTCAGTTGCGTCCCCCGTACCGGCGAGACCCCCGCGTCGCAGTGGACCGTGCGTCGTGTGTGCGTCCTCGTGGCAGCCGTTCCGTCCTCGACGACCTGATCGAGGTCCGCGCGACGTCGTGGCGGAACGTGGAAACGCGACGCTCGGGATTACCGGAAGCGAGAGGAACAGGACCGCAACAGTTGGCGCGATCGTTGCAGTAGACGCAGTTCCCAGCCAGGTGAGCGACTACCCCTCGGTATATGGGAAATCTTTATGGGATACGTGCTTTATATTTATGGGGTACGTACAAGTGAGGAGTGCGGCATCTCGGGTTTTCTTAAATGGGGTGAAATAGGGATCGGCAGGTGAATCGGGCGTTTCCAGAAGTTTTCGTATCCCTTGCAGGTAATTAGTCTGCTGGTCGGAATAGCTCTCATTTTGACTCTTTGAGGCACGGTGGTATTAAATGTCCCACCTTTTTAATGCGTGAATATGCACGGTGGGACTATTTGAGTCCCACCCTGTAACAAGAAAATTGAATTATTATTATTTTANGTAAGAAGGGGGTTTTGATGCATGCGAAGGATATACCGTGTCGTGGTCGGCAGAAGGTCGGAAAATGCGGTTGAAAAGTTGATACGGATTGTGGAAGAGGATTTATCACGTCGCTCATTGGTAAGAACGGGATTTTGATGCATGCGAAGGATATACACGTGTCGTGGTCGGCAAAAGGTCGGAAAATGCGGTTGAAAAATTGATACGGATTGTGGAAGAGGATTTGTCACATCGCTCATCGGTAAGAATGGGATTTTTATGCATCTTAGGGATTTGGGATGTCGATCCATTGTAGGGAATTAGGATGTTCCTACATCTTGAGGAGTTAGGGTACTGGGTTATTAGTCTGTTGGTAGGTCTTTTAACCCCTTGTCTTATGATTTAAATTCCAATAGCGCGTGCCATAAACAAGAAAAATGTCGGTCATACATACATTGGGCCATTTCACGGTTTGGCTGAACGTTCAAAGTCTCTCATATGTTTTGTTTACGTTTGGCCCGATTGACATACCACATCTCTTACACGTTTTGTTCACGTTTGGCCCGACTGATGTATCACGTCTCTCACACAATATTGTGAGTGAAGTGATTAATGAATTTGGTAGTTTGATGCATTTTTACGAATATTTAAGTGTATAGGAGTTAAGAAGGTGGGAAAGTGCGGTTGAAAAGTTGATACGAATCGTGCATTTTTATGAATATATTTAGGTGTAGAGGATTTAAGGCAGAAGGTGGGAAAATGAGGTTGAAAAGTTTATACGGATAGTGGAAAAGAATTTATATCTTCGCTCATTGGTAAGAACGGGATTTTTATGCATCTTAGGGAATTGGGATGTTCAATGCATCTCGGGGAGTTAGGGTGCCGGGTTTTTTCTTTTTATTTGGTCGTTTGAGCAAATGTTAGCAAGTTTAATGCAGCCTTTTCATTAATATTTAGGTGTACCAGGATTTAGGGCTGAAGGTGGGAAAATGAGGTTGAAAAGTTGCTTCGGATAGTGGAAGTGCATTCGACAGACCGCTCATCGATAAGAACGGGATGTTGATGCATCTAGGGGAATAGGGGTGTTGATAGCCTTTTTTTCATTTCGTTGTTTGAGCAAATGTTGGCAGGTTTAACGCAGTCTTTTTATTAATATTTAGGTGTACAAGATTTAGGGCTGAAGTTAGGAAAATGAGGTTGAAAAGTTGCTTCGGATAGTGGAAGTGCATTCGACAGACCGCTCATCGACAAAAAATGGGATGTTGATGCATCTAAGGGAATAGGGGTGTTGATAGCCTTTTTTTTTCATTTCGTTGTTTGAGCAAATGTTGGCAGGTTTAACGCAGTCTTTTCATTAATATTTAGGTGTACAGGATTTAGGGCTGAAGGTGGGAAAATGAGGTTGAAAAGTTGCTTCGGACAGTGGAAGTGCATTCGACAGACCGCTCATCGATAAGAACGGGATGTTGATGCATCTAGGGGAATTGGAGTGCTGGTAGTTTTTTTTTTATTTTCGTTATTTGAACATATGTTGGCAGGTTTAACGCAGTCTTTTCATTAATATTTAGGGCCGAAGGTGGCAAAGTGAGGTTTAAAAGTTGCTTCGGATAGTGGAAGTGCATTCGACAGACCGCCTATCGATAAGAACGGGATGTTGATGCATTTAGGGGATTTGGGGTACTAGGTTATCAGGGTATTGGTAGGTTATTTTGATGTTGGATGTCTGATGAATTTTTAAACGTAAATTTTTAAACGTAAATTTTTAAACTTTTTTTCATTTTTTTCACGAGCATTTCACCTTTCCGACGCTGCGTGGGCCTGCTGGGTTATCACTAGGTAGACAGGTGACGATGCGTTTGACTAGTCATTCGTGTCGTTTAGTCATTTACCAGTATACCTTTCGCAGTTTATTTCCTTTTACATCTGATAGAGAACGGTCGTATCTTTAACCCATTCGTCCCTTGTACGACATTTATAAGTTTTAACCTGTTCCAAAATACGCGGCCGGTAATATTCGTCATCTTACGTTGCAATTTATACGGAATAGCAGTTTTACACCGACACTGGGCAGAGACAAGTATTAGTGCGCATTTGGGAGTCTAATTCTATCGGGCAAAAACCTGCGACCGTTTCTCCGGGTGCGAGTTCTGCGTCCCCTCTTATCCTTTTAGACTCCTTTTGCTTTTCCTGCCAGTTTATTGAGTCCTGCTCGAAGAGTGCCGCGATCATTTTGACACTTGCATAACGTATAAACAATGACAACATAAACGAAAGAGCATAAAAGAGGGAGGAACGTTGAACACCCTAGAGAAGAACGATCGATTTTTCGCATTCGTCGAAGAGAGCCAAGGAGCGCCCCAGACCGCGAGAAATTTCATTGTTTATAAAAAGGAACTATTAAACAATTTAGAAATTGAAATGTACGAGTGTCGGGACCTTCCTAAGGGTTCCTGTAATCACGTAGTAAGAATTGGAACGAATTGGTTCGCTCAATTCGGGGAAAAGTTGGATATAAACGATCGAATCTTCGCTTTCGTGCCCCCTTAAGGGGATGTGAAAGTGGCACCCGAAAGCTCAATCGTTCATGAAACTTTTCTCTGAACTGGGTGTCTCAAATCGTTTCATACTTTAAAACGTGAATATGGAGACCCTAAGGTAGGTCCTGAAACTCGCAAAATTTCAATTTTTCTAAATTATTTTTAAAATACCTACAAACAAATTTGAATAGAATTGACATTTCATGAGCTTCAGGACCTTTCTTATAGTCTCCCTATTCACGTTGTAAAGTTTCAAATTATTCGGTAAATCGAGTTGGGAGAAAAGTTTTATAAACAAAACCTCTTCGACGCCACTTTCACATCATCTTAATTTGTGTATGAAAGTGGCAGGAACGTTTAAGATCCTAGAAAAGTACGATCGATTGCTCGCGTTCGTCGAAGAAGGAGCCCCCCAAACCGCGAGAAATTTAATTGTTTATAAAAAGAAACTACTAAACAATTTAGAAATTGAAATGTACGAGTGTCGGGACCTTCTTAAGGGTCCCTGCAATCACGTAGTAAGAATTGGAACGAATCGGTTCGCTAAATTCAGGAAAAAATTGCATAAACGATCGATTCCTCGCTTTCGTGTCCCCTTAATCCAGGGTCTCGTAACACGCGAAGATGAGCCTTGTGCTGATATATCGACCGTTTTTCTCCGGCGGCCATTTTTCCGGACACGTCGCCGGGTGTGCGATCCTCCCTTTCTGTGGGGAGAGAGAAAAAGAGAAAAAGAGAAAAAGAGAGAGAGGGAGAGACCCGTTCCGATTTTCCGGCGAGTTCGTTGAGTCCTGTTTGAAAAGCAGCCTTTATGCGAGGGGCGCATGCGCACGGTAAGGCACCGCGGTGCAGGGCCACGTATATACACACAACACAATGTGATTATACGCCGTGCACCGGTTCTGCAGCTGCCGTTTCGGGCCCCGCGGGTTGTGAGGCTGTCGGGGTCGGCGGGGGACGGAGGGGGACGCCGGGGTCGGCGGGGACCCCAGGCCCTACGGCCCAATGGGGGGCGGCCCGGAGGGAGGAGGGCCTCTGGACAATGGGGAGGATCGCCGAGGGGGTGGGAGAGGGACCGGGACCCTTCGGTGCGAAAACTCGGCCGCCATCTTGCCTGCCCTGGAATTAGAGTCCTACCTGCGGGACGAGACTCGATGGTGTCATAGGGCTTGTTGAAACGTAGAGGGCAGTACTGCAGGGCGGATGTTCAAGTGTCCTGACGAGGTTAGATAGGCATTGGAGGTTAGAATGCGTATCACGAGTCTTAAGGTAATATATACACAAGAAAAAGTGAAAATGTTTATGAAACTTTTCTCCAAACTGGGCGCGCCGAATAATTTGAAACTTTGACACATGATTATGTACACCCTAGAAAAGAACGCGAAGCTCGTGAAATTTCATTTTTCACAAGGAAAAAAAAAAAAAAATGTGATCAACTTTCATAGGCGTCAGGATTTTTCTTATAGTTCACGGGGTAAAACTTCGAACAATTCGGTACCCTCAGTTTGGAGAAAAGCTTCACTTTGACATCACCTTAAGGTATACAAGAAATTCCAGCAATTGGGGGAAATGGCGGAGAACACGTAATTTCCTTTTGTGATTGACATATATATATATTTTTTCTTTTTTAATTTTGTGGGGTTTAGCGACGAAATGTCGCAATTTGTTCTTTGTATCCATGCATTACCGATATGGAAATGTATGTATAGGATGATGTAAGTCAAATTGTAAGTTTTCATCCGTGCACGTTGATACGTCACGGACGTGGCAGTAATAAAACACCGTCATCGGCGTTTATTTCTGCTTTCTTCTGGCAATGATCTCTCATCCTTCGGGATGGCTTGGAACTCTTTGGGCGCATGTGTCCGCTCTTGTGCGCCAGACGCGTGCGCGCGCACCCCAGGACAGCTGTTCCTAGCGGTCCCGTCAGTTTTGGAGGAAAAACGCCCGTTACTTGTTGCGAGGGGACCCCTTGCGTGTCGAGGTCCTTTGGCAGCCCTGGAAGGAACTGCTCCTGTCAGCCCTGGGGGGAGGAATCTCGAATTTACCCCGCTGGTCGGAATATCCATAGTGAGAAAATTAAAATCCAGAAATTCAGACACTATCACATGTTATTAATAAGAGTGTTAAGAACGTTAGTAACTGGAAATTTATCATGAATTTATGCGGATGATTTCTTGTAAAACTTGGGGATTTCGATGCTGGGTTCGGTCGTTCATGTATCGATAATCAAATTAGGGTAAAGTGTTCGTTCCCTTGTCGGATATAATTTTTTATGAATTTATCGGTTTTTCGGGCTGACAATTTCCTCTAGAAAGTCATCGGGTTTTTCAGGGACTTGGTGACTTCGATGCCGGGTTTAATTATCCACGTATCATCAAATAAATTAGGTAAATGTGTGTTTCCCCGGATATAATTTCTTATGAATGGGATCATCATTATCATTAAATGAATTAGGTTGAAGTATTAGTTTCCTTGTTAAATATAATTCTTTAAGAATGTATAGTTTCTTTGGGCTGATAATTCCCTCTTAAAGATCATCCCTTTCTGGAAAAACTTGGTGACTTCGATGCCGGGTTTAATAATTCACATATCATAAATAAATTAGGTTAAAGAATTAGTATCCTTGTTAGATATAATTTTTTTAAGAATGTATACTTCCTTTGGGCTGACAATTCCCTTTTGAAGATCATCCCTTTCTAGAAAAACTTGGTGACTTCGATGCCGGGTTTAGTTATTCACATATTATTGAATAAATCAGATAATGTGTGAATTTCCCCGGATATAATTTCTTATGAACGGGATCATCATTATCATTAAATGAATTAGGTTGAAGTATTGGTTTCCTTGTTAGATATAATTCTTTAAGAATGTATACTTTCTTTGGGCTGACAATTGAAGATCATCCCTTTCTGGAGAAACTTGGTGACTTCGATGTCGGGTTTAGTAGTTCGTGGATCACGAACCAAGGTTCGTTTAAAATGTCGGTCCCCTTTGTCGAGTACTATTTTTGTATGCATTTATAGGCTCGTTGTGGCAACTATTTTATCGTGACAAGGACTCAGTTGCCGATGAATGCGGGTTTTCTGAACAGCTGTTTCGAAGAGGCGAGGTAAAGGAAGACCGGCCGTTACTTGTTGCCGAGGTGCCCTCGCGTGCAGAAATTGCAGTTGGTCGAGAACTTGAGATGGATTAGCCCTTTATGGGGTGGTCGGCCAGAAAACTTGAATACTCGAACACATTTTACACTTAGCGTGTCAAAATGGCCGTGGCGTAATTCGTTCCTCGGGGGGTGATTCCTGAAAAATGAGGACCGTCAAACGCTGCTACTTGCGCTACGGTTATAAAGAAATTCCCAGAATATTATTCTCTTTTCTTTTTTTTAACGATAAAATAGATATTTCATCGGGGTAATTACATGTTCCTTATATTAAAACGCTGTTACTTGACTCAAATGAGCGTCATTTAACCCTTTTATTACCGACAACGATATATCGTCGTTTTATAAACATGTTCGCCGTTTAATCTATATGGAATGACCCTTTCGTAACATCTTAAAGGAATCAATTTCTTAGGATCAATGAAACTTTCCTTAGGGTTGTAATTGCACATTTAAGAAAAGGTTTATAAACATGTCCCCGTTTTAATATATACAGAATGACCCTTTCGTATCACCTTAAAGGAGCCAATTTCTTTGGAAACTTTTCTCGGGGTTGTAATTGTACATTTGAGAAAAGTTTTATTAACATGTCCCCGTTTTAATATATACAGAATGACCCTTTCGTATCACCTTAAAGGAGCCAATTTCTTAGGAAACTTTTTTCAGGGTTGTAATTGTACATTTGAGAAAAGTTTTATTAACATGTCCCCGTTTTAATATATACAGAATGACCCTTTCGTATCACCTTAAAGGAGCCAATTTCTTAGGAAACTTTTTTCAGGGTTGTAATTGTACATTTGAGAAAAGTTTTATAAACATGTCCTCGTTTTAATATATACAGAATGATCCTTTCGTATTACCTTAAAGGAGTCAATTTCTTAGGATCAATGAAACTTACCTCAGGGTTGTAATTGTATATTTGAGAAAAGTTTTATAAACACGTCCCCGTTTTAATATATACAGAATGATCCTTTCGTATTACCTTAAAGGAGTCAATTTCTTAGGATCAGTGAAACTTACCTCAGGGTTGTAATTGTACATTTGAGAAAAGTTTTATAAACATGTCCCCGTTTTAATATATACAGAATGACCCTTTCGTACCACCTTAAAGGAGTCGATTTCTTAGGACCAATGAAACTTACCTCAGGGTTGTAATTGTATATTTGAGAAAAGTTTTATAAACACGTCCCCGTTTTAATATATACAGAATGACCCTTTCGTATCACCTTAAAGGAATCACTTTTTTAGGATCAATGAAACTTTTCTCAGGGTTGAAATTGTACATTTTCAGGGAGGAAGCGGCCTCGCGGGGGAAGTAGATGGTCAGTGCGACCGGTTCCTGATACCCGGGGAAGAAAACCGGCCAAAGGGTGGCTAGCGGTCCGAGGCAAGTCCCGCCGAGCGAGTTGGGCAGGATCCTGAAGATGCTGATGCCGGGAGCGGCCGGCCTGGGGGCCGTGGGGGCGGTGGGGGCCCCCGGCCCCGAGGACCTCGTCTCCGGCCTCGGCGCCCTCGCGGGGGCCACCCCCCAGCAGAAGGACACCACCTGGACCAAGCTCTTCGTCGGCGGACTGCCCTACCACACCACCGACAAGAGCCTCAGGGAACACTTCAACGTCTACGGCGACATCGAGGAGGCGGTCGTCATTACCGACCGGCAGACCGGCAAGAGTAGGGGATACGGATTTGTGAGTATGGCGGAAGTTAGATATAGTGGACTTCCGTATAACGCGCATTTCCATAACGCCCTGTAGATGTTGCGACTACTGCTTTCGTATAACGCGATTCTTCGCACAACGCGCCAAATAATGAGACATGCGCGTTATACGAGAACATTTTTTGTATGGCACGATTTCCTATAACGCGACAAGATATTGCAATAATTGTTTTCATATAACGCGATTCTTCGCACAACGCGCCAAATAATGAGACATTACGCGCGTTGTATGAGAACAATTTCTGTATGGCACGATTTCCTATAACGCGACAAGATATTGCAATTATTGTTCTCATATAACGCGATTCTTTGTACAATGCGCTAAATGACAAGACATGTTATGCGCGTTATACGAGAACAATTTCTGTATGGCATGATTTCCTATAACACGCCATAGATATTGCTATTACTATTTTCATATAACGCGATTATTCGTACAACACGCCAAATAACAAGATATTTTATGCGCGTTATACGAGGAACAAGTCCCATACAGCACGATTTCCTATAACACGCCATAGATATTGCAATAACTTTGACGATCTCAAGATCAAAGTAATGAAGTGATTAGAAAAATCAAGTGAAAAACCGTAGTGCCAATTTTCAATAAATAAAATGCAACGTTTAATCGAGATCGAAGAAGTCGGCATTTCGGCCTATTCCATTTTCTGACTTTGTTGGTAGCAGGCCTCTTTTTTGTCAGTAAATTTGCCCAGTATTAACTTTGACGATCGCAAGATCAAAGTAATGGAGTGATGATAAGAATCAAGTGAAAAACCGTAGCGCCAATTTTCAATAAATAAAATGTAACGTTTAATCGAGTTCCTAGAATACGGCATTTCGGCCTATTCCATTTTCGTACTTTGTTGGTTGGAGTCCTCTCTTCTGCCTGTAAATTTCCACGTTATCAGGCCAACGTGCCCCAGGATAAGGCGGTTGCGTGACGAGAAAAGACGCCGCGTGAAAGAAGGAATAAAAAGAATAAAGAATTACTCGTTATCGTCGGTTCGAAACCGGAAAGCACGACGTGTCTTCCCCGTGTATCGGGGACGATTTCGTGCGAACTGCATTTGTTTTTTATCGGCTGACAAACGACTTATTGCCTCGATACCGACAATCGCTCTTCCTCCGTAGGTCGACGTTTATCCGGGTTACTTAGTTTCTTTTTTCTTTTTTTCTTTGCAACAATTTCCGACAGGGGACAATCTTCGCGGTTGGCTTCAATTTTGGAGACCCAGTTTTGGCTAATTCACGGTTCCTTTTGCGCTTTACTTACAGGTGATAATGGGAGATAAGCCCGCGGCTGAGAGGGCCTGCAAGGACCCCAACCCCATAATCGATGGGAGAAAGGCCAACGTCAATCTGGCGATCCTTGGGGCGAAACCCAGAGGGAACCTTCAAGCCGGTGAGTTGCTGCTCGTCGTAGAAGATTCCTTTCTTTTTTTTTTATCATCCTTATCAATTAAAGCAGTCAGGGAAAGATTGGAGAATTCAGATCGTTCGAAATCTTGAGACGCTGGTCTCAAATCAGCTTTTGTCCGATGATGCGGTTTAATTTCTACCTAATTATCTATGGAGGTGCTTAGGAGCTTTCGATATGAGAAGTTTGGATAATGCAGCCCTAAAGGGAAGGAAACGCCTTAACCCTTTGGCTACTAAGAACGCCTAAAGGCGCCCGACGTTTCGTCCAATATTGCCTGCACGGTCAGACGAATTTCGCCCATATGTCGAAATGGCTCCGTGTTCAAAGGTGATATGAAAGGCTCGTTCTATATCGATATCTTCATCATTACTTTACTGAAATGACGTACGGAACGCTCTTCAGTTCGTATAATCCTTAACGTAGACTGTAAAATTCTTCAATATAAATATAAATGTGAAGTTCTTCAATATAAATATAAATGTAAAATTCTGCAACATGAATATAAATGTGAAATTCTTCAATATAAATACAAATGTAAAATTCTGCAACATAAATATAAATGCAAAAATTCTTCAACATAAATATAAATGTAAATTTCTTCAACATAAATATAAATGTAAAATTCTTCAACATAAATATAAATGCAAAAATTGTTCAACATAAATATAAATGTAAAATTCTTCAACATAAATATAAATGCAAAAATTCTTCAACATAAATATAAATGTAAAATTCTTCAACATAAATATAAATGCAAAAATTGTTCAACATAAATATAAATGTGAAATTCTGCAACATAAATATAAAACGTGATGTTCCAGCTAATGTTACCACTTGAGTATTAAAAATGACGTTTCCACCAAAAAGGGCATAGATGAATATTAATTTATCGACCTGGATTAAATTTCTCAGCGCCTTTCATATCACCTTAACACTATTCTTGTGTGTTAGGTCGGTCGGTTTTAGTAGATGAACCGAGTCTTATTTTCCTTTTCCACGGGTAGAGGTGGTACTTGCAGTTTGGTGCATCCGAGATATCCGAGATGCGTACCGAGGGGTGCGATTTGCGTCGCCACGTGAGTCATTCGAGTGGCCCGACTCGAAGCTCCTCCCTGAAAACGAGCTTCATGGACCGAAGCCAACATAGCTTGGATCTCGGTCCTCGTAGAGTCTAAAATTGCCTCGGAGAGCCAAGCTCTCCTCGTTTTGTCGCGATTCGCAGCAAAGCCCGCCTCTCGGGGGGAGGGGGAGATTTTCGCCAAACTGCGACGTGATAACTGGGAGCGCGGATTTCGCTGATAGGGTGAACGCTAGGTCGCTTTGGCAAAAGGGTTACCGACCTTACGGGATATGCACCGTCTGTACGAGGCAGCTTAAAAAACCAACAGCAATTGTCTATGTCGACGTTACACCAAATACCAGTTCCCTTGTATGTACAATGGCGGACATGATTGCCTCCCCTGCAGATACGACATCGCCTGTGCAGGATGAGAGGGCATTGATGTCTCCCAGTGCACAAGCTTTGTATATCAAATTTTTGTCTTCTTTTTTATTGTCTCAGAATTGAGCTTTGCTTAAACCAACTTCCGCGTCTTGGTGCAGATTTGTCGTTGTGTAATCTACATCATTTCCGTTTGCGAGATGCGTGGCGGAAATGTGTCATGCGCATGTGAGTAAAATGAGGGAAAAGAAGCGTAGGAGTGAAAATTGTTTCGTAAAATGCGCCAGGTAGTCGCTTATGCACCATCTTTATGAGGCAGCTTAAAAAACGAATAGCAATTGTCTATGTCGACGTTACATCAAATACCAATTCCATTGTACAATGGCGGACATGAATGCCTACCCTGCAGATACGGCATCGCCTGTGCAGGATGGGAGGGCATTGATGTCTCCCAGTGCACAAGCTTTGTATATCAAATTTTTGTCTTCTTTTTTATTGTCTCAGAATTGAGCTTTGCTTAAACCACCTTCCGCGTCTTGGTGCAGATTTGTCGTTGTGTAATCTACATCATTTCCGTTTGCGAGATGCGTGGCGGAAATGCGTCATGCGCATGTGAGTAAAATGAGGGAAAAGAAGCGTAGGAGTGAAAATTGTTTCGTAAAATGCGCCAGGTAGTCGCTTATGCACCATCTTTATGAGGCAGCTTAAAAAACGAATAGCAATTGTCTATGTCGACGTTACATCAAATACCAATTCCATTGTACAATGGCGGACATGAATGCCTCCCCTGCAGATACGGCATCGCCTGTGCAGGATGGGAGGGCATTGATGTCTCCCAGTGTACAAGCTTTGTATATCAAATTTTTTTCTTCTTTTTTATTGTCTCAGAATTGAGTTCTGCTTAAACCATTTTACACTTCTTGGCGCAGATTTGTCGTTGTGGTCATTGTAGGAAAAGCGACGATTGATTCAGTGCCGTGGAAATGTCTTTTCGTTGTGAAAGAAAAATTCCGCACCCCGCGCGACAGTTCTCCCCTCACTTGACGGCCACGATATATCCCCCTCGACGCAGAAATGCGTAGTCCCGGTTTCGTCGGCTCTCCATTCATTACCCCGCGGATGGCTTTTACGATCAATTTCTCACTTTCGGCGCAATTCGAGGAGGACGTTTCCCGCGAAGGCCGAATGCCCGCGTTTCGGTGTCAAAGGGAAGACTAGCCAACAGGAGAGATGCGTAGGATGCGTTGCAAACGTACAGGGGATGTATGCCAGATGTACCTCGCCGATTTCGTTGGTTCCGATATATGTTGAAGTACATCGAAAATTAAGAGACCCGTATTTTTTTATACGCTCTGGTTAGCAATTATAATGGCAGATAACCGCCTTCAAAAACGGAAACTGGCCAACAGGCGAGATGCGTAGGATACGTTGCAAACCTACAAGAGATGTATGTTAGGTGTACTTCGCCGATTTCGTTGGTTCCGAAATATGTTGAAGTACATCGAAAATTAAGAGACCCGTATTTTTTTATACGCTCTAGTTAGCGATTTTAATGGCAGATAACCGCCTACGAGGTTGTCCGTGAGAAATAATCCGAGTGCGTCGATTTATTTGTTGCTAAACAAATTCTGTGCCTGACCAATGAATAGGGAAATTCTTCGCACGTTGATCAGCCGAGAGATAGTTTTCCCGATCGATTTTCACGTTTCGCGTGCCACGAGGCAACCGTACGTGTCGTATCGAATATGAAAAAAAAGGGGATTGGATAGTTGCGACGTATCGCTGTGTCCTGTCGGTCGTTTAACATACTTTTTAACCTCCTGTATTGACAATGAGAAAGAACAAACCGCCATCCGAGGATGCGACTTGAAAGATTTTCAAGAATTCCGACGATTTCGGCGACGGAAGACAAAACCGTGAAAGTCAAAATACCATATTTCTTATTGTTAGCCAAAATTAAAACCGAGATTTAAACTAATTTTAGTAAGTTTTACAATTGGACGAATTACAATTGCTGAGCGAATAAAGCCAGGAAAAAAAAATGGTACCCAGCAAAGTGTCCAATGATAGTATTGTTGGCCTTGTTGTTTCCTTCTATTTAATTTTTTTTTTATTTAAGTGATATGTGAAGAGTGCATATATCAGCGTTAATTTCCTAGAAATATATTAGGGATACCCATAAGTAATTAATTATTTTTAAAGAGGTGTTTTAGACGTCAAAGAAATTGATCGCTTATGGGTACTCCTGATATTTACTTACTTTTTTTTTTTCAAGAAGTTCATTAATTTTCTAGATATATCAAGAAGTTATTAATCTCCTAGATATATATTAGGGGTACCCATAAGTAATCAATTATTTTCAAAGAGGTGTTTTAGACGTCAAAGAAGTTGATCACTTATGGGTACCCCTAATATTTACTTACATTGTTTTTTTTTTTTTTTCAAGAAGTTATTAATCTCCTAGATATATATTAGGGGTATTCATAAGTAATCAATTATTTTCAAAGAGGTGTATAAGACGTAAAAGAAATTGATCGCTTATGGGTGCCTCTAATATTTACTTAGACTTTTTTTTCTTTTTCAAGAGGTTTATTGGCAATGATTCTGCTTTCTCTGGTAATACTTTCCTTTTATTTTCGGATCGAAGTTGGCACCGTCATTTCTCTCGTATATTAGTCAATACCGGAATCGTTGAGGCACGTGTCATAAAAGTAGAAACTCTTGCGCGATCGCAGCGCCATTCGATATTACCTAGAAATAGACTGCTTATGTCCTTGTCGGACATGTCTGAAACTAGACAAGACGTCACTCATTGACGTTAATGCCATCGAAACGTGGCTGCTTCTGAATTTTCCAATTTTTCTCCATTTCTCGATTTAACGCGAAAGAAATTTCACCTTTAGTGTAATTCTTTCTAAGGTTCTTTCTTTTTTTCCCGTTTTTATTTTTTATTTTTTTTCGTAACATTTATTAACATGTTTCGTAATCTTAGGCGAACGATCTCATGGACATTCTCCGTATTTCGGATTTTTATATATGCGAGTGTTGTTCGATGGAACATCTTGAAATTTCTTGATGTTTTCCTCGAAATTGGAATTTATTGAAATTATACAATGTAATAATTGTTCGGTGTAATCTATCATTAGGACTAATTAGAATGCCATTCTCCTTAATTATGTTAATTCGTACAGGTGAAAGAAATTCAATTTGATTTCCTTTTAATCGGGGGACTTTTTCGATTCCGAGGAAACAAAGATTTGACTTTTCCTACAATGTTCCCTAACTTATGTAATACGCATAAATAAAACCAGAATTCGATTATTCTTAGTTACATTGACCAGCATACAAATTACTAGATCGTTCCAAAAATTCGATTCGCCTCATTGGTACACATTGAAGTGACATTAATTAATTCAAGACAATAACCTGATTAAAATCAGTAGAAACAAAAGGTGTCGGCAAGAAGCAATTGAATTTTTTGTACGACCTAACCCGTTATCAGTGCCATAAAATGTTCCATTGTTCATTTAAATGCGACTTCATAAATTCCACGTTCATTAAAATCTACTACGCTCTTTTGCCTATATATATCTTCATCTCCGACAATTTGCTACATACATATATATCAACCTCGAAAATATCATATATGTATATGCAAAATAATGGGAAAAAAAATTGCATAGAAATTCGTTTCCCTTTCTAGAGGGCGGTTCCATGTTCTGCCACCTGCTCTCGAGTCCATGTAGGTATCACTTCAGCAGACCTAATGTTCCCCTTGGTGTTATCAAGGGGTCTCGTATGTCGTTCTTATCAAATTTGGAAGATTCACCCTATCTAAACTATCCGTTCTGATTTCAGCATTCCCTTTTGCGGCCGGCATCCGAGCCGGATATCCGGCGGTCCTTCCTGGACAGTACGGGTGAGTATTCGCCTTGGTTTTTTGTAAGACAGTTAAGAATTAGGGGTTTGGGGTTAATCCGATAAGGGTTCGGGGGTGGTTTCGGGGTTCTGATAAGGGCTGGCTCTGATTGCCCGAAACCACCCCCTGGGAGGTCCGAGTCGCGTGGCTCGTCCTTTGACGGGCGCCTTTGCCTCCTGCAGGGATCGTTAAATATTCAGGATTTAAGAATTAAAGAGACGAGCTGGGCCGCGCACTATTGCTATCTCGAGTGGGGACGATTGGATCGAGTATCGATCCCGAAGAGAGGTCGGCCACGGGGGTCGATCGATCGACGGAACCAGGTTACCTTCATTGCTGATGTCTTCGTGTCGGGGATGGTTGTCGAATGTCCTGTCCGGGTGGACGGTTCTCCTTTCGATCGAATCGTCGACTGGAATTAAGCGGGATTGATACGGGAATTAATAAATCATTTAATAAGGGGGAATGGATGGAATGAGCCGAACTGTAACGTCTTAACCCTTCGGCTACTGAGAGCGCCCGACGTTTGGTCCAATATTCCCCGCACGGTCAGAGGAATCTCGCCCGTATGGCGAAATGGCTCCCTGTTCAATGGGTTAATACTGGAACTCCCGGAGATCGTGTGCACACCGTTAAAGAAAATTCATAAAATTTACATACACTTTTAGTACATAACGTTGCAATATAATTATTCATTTGACGTCTTAAGAGGCGAATTAGTATACATTCGTGATAAATTTTACATTTGTTTTACATTTTACATTTATGATAGGTTTAACATTGGAACTCTCGGAGATCGTGTGTGTCTAGAACGTATACAGGTGGATAAATTCGTGTTTTAGGGAGGTTTGAAGGTTCAGAGTTAACAAAAATTATTATGGAATATTTTGATGGATTTGTAAATTAGTACTTGATGGGAAATGGCCGGAATTATTCAAATTGCAACAATTTAATTTTGGAACTCTCAGAGTCCATGTGTATCTAGAATGTATACAGTTGGATAAATTCGTGTTTTAGAGGGATTTCAAGGTTCAAAGTAAAAAAAAATTAATATGCAACATCAGGATGGATACGTAAATCAGTACTTGATGGGAAACGGCCGGAATAATCCAAATTGCAACAACATAATTTTTGAACTCTCAGAGACCATGTGTACCTAGTGTGTGTTATGTGTAGCCATGTGTAGAACGTATACAGGTGAATAAATTCGTGTTTTAGAGTTATTTGACGGTTCAAAGTGAGCGGAAATTACTGCGTACCATTACGACGGATGAATAAATCCGTAAATACTGGGAAATAGGCAGGATACATACAACATTAGTTTTCGAGAAATGAAATCTCGGGAGTTTCAAGACCTCCACCATGACGAGTAAAAGTATCGAATTATTCAGTGCCTCCAGTTAGGCCACAATCATTATATCCTGTCTTTCTGGTACATACACAACCATTTGATACCCGATCAGCAGTGACCGAATGATCGAAAAAAAATAACCTGGTTCCTTCGACCACATGACAGGAGTTCGTCATCAGAAACCAGAAATTAGGCTCGAAGACATTTAACGATCCCGAAGGAAGGCGAAACTCGAGTAGCTGCAAATCCCTCGTAAATCGGCGGTATAAAAAATCTGCAAAATCCAGGAGATATAAGGAGTGATCGCAGATCGATATCCGGGGCTCTTGTCGACCCCTGTGAATTTTGCGCGGATCCTCTGCACACATCGAGGGGTTTGCACCCTCGGCCTAGACCTTAATTAAGATATCTCGATAGGAGTATATATATATATATATCGGATATGGAGTAACCTGCCACCCTTAAAACCTGAATTTTCAGCATGCTGCCGCGCGTTGCGACAGTAAGGCCCGAGGAACAGTCGGTTCAGAGTCGGATTCGAGAGAAATGAGAGAGAGAGTGACGAGTTCTGGACGACTGTCCTACTTAGCGAAGGAGAGGTCCTTAATGGGCCTCATCTCGGCCTAGACGCGGTTCTTTGTAAGGATCCCTTACCGGACTGTAAGAGAGACTGTACAGTGACAAAGAGAGAGAGACCCAACTCTTTAAGTTGCAAAGAGAGAACGCGCAGGTTCACACACACACTCACGCACGTAGGACCCACGAGAGTACGAGAGTATCAGGTGCGCGGTCCTGCTCAGGGTCGGCACCTTTGGTTGTTTTGTTTCTTTTTTCTACTTTGTTACTTTGCTCTTTGCCAGTGATGATGATGGTGATGACGATGAGGTTGATGATGATTTTGCCGATGTTGAAGGTTTTGCCAGGTGTTTGTTTACCGGTTCTTCGTGTTTCTTTTCTCGTCTGGTACGTCTTCTTCTTTTTTTATGTTTTTTATTTTATTTTTTTTTCTCTCTCTTCCTTTTCTCTTCATTTGGTTTCTTCGTCTCCCGTGTTTTTGGGCCTTTACTTCTTACTTTTTTAATTATTCTTCATCAGCGTAATAATCACATTAATAACGACCATTAATCGATTTACGTTAATTGGTAGACCATGTTAGAGCACCGCCACCACCGCCGCCGATCGTTTTTTTTTTTATTGTTCTTTGGTTGGTTTCACTTTTTAATGGTGTTCCCTTTTACTTTTCTCTTTCTCGTTTACCTTTTTCTTTTCAGTTATCTTGGCCATTGTTTGCTGGAGTTTTTACTGGTTTGCATTTGTTGGTGCAGCTTAAGGTGGGTTTTTCGGGATTGATTAACAATGGGATTTAGTTCTTGATTATCGGAACGAGCCCTTTGTCGGGATTAAAAGTTATCCCTCGTATTCTTGGGGTGATAAGGCTTAATCACTCTTGCTGAGAATTGGCATTGTTGAAAGGGTGGGAATAAATGCGGTTTTTGTTTCTTGAGTAGGGATTAATCGATATATCGCGCAGATGAATTACCGGGAAGAAGGGAATCGTTAATAGGTAATGTTAGACTCCTCGTATATTATTGATAAGCACGTAATCTATGCTCTTATCAAATTGAACGTTTTTACGAGAAATAATATGCCAGGCAGAGGGAACAACGCGAATCATTTATCCTGAGAATTTTTTCAACAATGCACACTCTTTATTCGCTGATTTATACTCGAAATGGTATATCGCGATATACAATTGATAAGAAATTAATTATGATAAGAGGATTTCACGGCTCCCCATAAGCTGCATCAAATCGAACCGTGGAGAGGAATCGAGTTAATGAAAAAAAGAGCCGGACGCTTTAATAAACAATCTTCGGTCGAGTTTTCTCATTGTTTGTAGTAGCTGAACGTTAAACATTGCCCGTGTTCGATTTTAATTGTTAACATTTCCCGGATTTCGGGCGATCTTGTCGATCCTTTTGCCGACCGATCAACGGCGAGAAGCCTCCCTAGTTACTTTTATCTGGTTATTTTCCCCGACACTTCCTCCTCTCTGTCTCTTTTCCTTTCTCGCCTACTTTTGTGCCCTTTGAAGTTGCGTCTTCGTTTTTTTTTTCTCCTCCCCTTCCCTCTCTCTTTTTTACCTACATACCGAGAGTGTTAACGAGAAGTAGTTTTTCCTGCTTTTTCAATTGTTTTTTAAAAAGTGACTTTCCTTTTTCCACGGTTTTCTAGTTTTCTTTTTTCTTTTTTTTTCCACGGTGGTGGACCCAGTGAGGACAGTGATAATGATATCGGTAGGTCGGCAGAGGGATGAAAATTACTGTTAATAGAAAGTCAATAGAAATGTTAAAAGACGGAGAGACGTTCGGAAGACTTCTGTTTTTTTTTTACTTTTTTTTTGAGACGTGCTATGTTAATTTTGGTTTCGAGTGTTCATTGAGGCCATTAGGAAAAATCGATCCCTAGTGATAAATCTTGACAAATCGGAGGTAAATCGAATTGAGTATGAAAAATAGAGCACCGTACGATTCTTCATTGAGTAACGATTGTTTTTTTTTAGACGCGCTGGGCGAAATTTCATTTTGAGCTTTTTTTTGTATAGAGGCCATTAGGAAAAATCGTTCCCCAGTGATAAATCTTGACAAATCGACGGTAAATCGAATCGATTAAGATAATAGACCACGGTACGATTCTTCATTGAGTAACGATTAATTGTTTCTTTTTGAGACGCGCTGGGCGAATTTTGATTTTGAGTTTTTTTGTATAGAGTCCATTAGGAAAAATCGTTCCCTAGTGAAAACTCTCGACAAATCGGCGGTAAATCGAATCGATCAAGTTAAAAAGAACACGGCACGATACTTCCTTGCGTGGCAATTAATTCTCATTGTTGGAATTGTGGAATAATTTCACAAACTCTGAGAAATTGGACGATTATCTCGTAATGAAATCTCGAGAATTTCTTTTTATTACTCTGGAATTACGGTCCGCGGCTCGGTGGCCGCGAAATTAATTAGAACTGGGTGAAACACTATTTAAAAATGGTACTTGGCCCAATTGTTATCCGCAGGGTGTGCCAATTTGTTTAGTACTTCGCCCGGCTCTTAATTTTAGGGTGTAGGAGTTTAATTAACCGCAATAACCTTGTGTGTGTGGTGAAGGCTTACACTACACTTGGTGTCGCTATTGGTGTTGTACTTTTGGTGTTGTTCGTGGTGATTTTTTGGATATTTTTCATATAACATTTTACACACAGCGGTAGAGGAGCCCTCCGGCTCCGAAGGGGGTGAAAGATGTACGTCGGCGAGAGACGAGCGTCCATTTTTATTTCGAGAAGCGTCCCCATCTTTTTGGCGGCCATCTTGGAATAAACGGAAATTCGAAATTCGGAAATTACATTAAACTTTTCCTCCCTTCTTGGCAAATTTTATTCCGTGAAACGCTGCCACCTCTTTGGCGGCCATCTTGCAATAGACGGAAATTCGGAAATAACATTACATTTGTCCATCCTTTTTGATAAATTTTATTAAGAGAAGCGTCGCCACCTCTTTGGCGGCCATCTTGCAGTAGCCAGAAATCGGAAATACCATTAAATATCCTCCCCTTTTTCGGCAAATCTAACATTACGGGGAGTCGTAAAGCCAAACAT